TGTCAAAGCTAGAAGACCGCCGGCCGTTATAAATAGGCCTGCGGAGTAGACGTGACCCAATTCGCGGGGGCAACGACCTCGAGGAGGGACCGATTTGGGGTAAAAGCCGCTCTAAGAAACAGGGACGGGCGATGGTAGGATCGAACGTTTTCGAATCCCTTCCTGTCCGGATTGCGTGTTTGCGGATTTGCGTATACGTTGTCAGTTTGAAGGGCTGGTTTTTCCAAATATAGCGGTTTAGATATTTATCGATTATAACGTCGTCCAAACTGGATATAAGACTACTAACTACTGTTATTACCCAGAAACTTCAATATCTTCATACAATATTAGCTGACGTATTTCATACTCTTTACCATACCTTCATACATCCCTTAATTAGTACTTATGTATATCGTTTTCAAAGCTCCTTTACATAAAATTTGTATTTTAATATGTTGTCTTATTATGTTAAAGCACCAGCAGTTTTCGTTAAGAGTTATTTATGATTCTTTTGCAATAGAGAAACGAGAAGTAGGCATCTGCCAACGTTATACAAGTACTAGGTGTCGCGTTACCTTTTCTGAGTAAAACCTAAGGCAGGATAAATACGATCCTTATGTTATTTGTTTTATTATTTCTAAAATGATTTCCGGTCCCGAGAATGACGACTGCCTGTATATGTAACGATATTTGGTTCAACGGATTCAGCTTACATTCTATAATTATTAATTATTATGCATTATTAATATCATTGGACAAAGCTTCGAATTGGGAAGATTCTGACACATAATACCTTAGAATAATAGATAAGCTGACTAATTTGTACTACTATTTTATACGAAAACTTATTGATAAAATAACACGGCGGCGAATAATGGAACCAAAGAAATCTATTTCTGGTTTTGGCAAGCGTTCAAAAGGAAAGACATGTCGGTCATATTTTTTCAAAGAAATAAAAACATAGCGTATTTAATATCTTTGATGATTCATACATTTAAGAGGCGTCAGAATCTCTTTTCTGATTCTCTCAATTCATTCGAGACGAATAACAATACGATTGCTAGACTCGCCTAAAATGGGAAAGCGTAACTATTTCCGTCGACTGCATGAAGGAAATTGAACTATATTTTGTATAAGGCAACATCACACGTGTCTGTCAACCTCACGGAGAGACTAATATTGAATAAAAATAACAATTTTCTTTATATAATTATGTAATCCATTACGTCGTTTCCTGTTTAATACATTACTATTAAATGTTTGTTATTATCCTTCCTGGCGGTGACATTTGTTGCACTTAAACTGAGTGAAATGATACTTGAGGCTTACACTTGAAGTTTTTCCCTTGAGAATTCTCAGAAACCTCTTTTTGATTTATTTATTTATTTATTATATACTTTATTGTACACCACAAAGAATTTGATACAATTAGTATGAAATAAGTCTTAAAAGCTAGGTACAATAAGGCGGTCTTATCGCTAAAAAGCGATCTCTTCCAGACAACCTTAGGACGAGGAAAAATAAACTAATGAATAGTGGGAGGTGGTGTGCTCAATAAACTTACTTAATACCAAAATAGACTTAAATATAATAAGATAAACAAAATTATAATAAACATACATAAACATAAATAAATATATAATATATATAAATAAATACACGAGAGAAGAATTAAATCTGAATATTGCCATTAAAAACTATGGATTACAAAGCGATAGATAATGTTGTTTTACGTCAATTTTAAACTTGTCTAGCGTCTTCGAACGACGAATTTGCTGAGGAAGTTCATTCCACAAGCAGATGGCCTTAACTGATTTACTTATGTTACAAAAAAGAAAGTGAGTAAGTAAAGTATAAACCTAATGATGTCCCAAAAATGCCTTTAAAATTTGACCCCTTTCTCTTTTCACATTACTTGGTTTAAGGAAATCTTACGAAATTACTGCGAAATGGAAGCCGAACCTATCTTCCCCTGGTCATATATCCCAATCATGTGAGTATCCGCTCCTGGTGCAAATGATCCAATGGTCCCTCAAACTGCATATTTCTATAGTTTATTAAAATACAAGATAAGTTGCGGAAATTATACACAACAAATGTATGATTTTTCTAAATTATGCAGATTATCCCTCACCGCAAAAGCTACTGGTTAAAATCAACTAGTTATTATTAATTAACCAGTACAAAGTTCCCATACCATGTAAAAGTTATAAAGAATATTATTTTATTGAATCCCAAAATATTTGTCTTTTGTCTAATTTTTTTTATCTACTGCCTTTTTTTTAGCATAATACAAAATCATTGTTACTATTCAAATAGCGTAAAAGGTTTCTCCTCAATGTGAAATAAACAAGAATCACAAATAAACTCATTGATTCAGCATTCATTCCGCAGCCATACGACAAAGTTCGATTTATGAAAAAAGTGGTTTGTTTTTTAAACGTTTGTGTCTATGGATAATTCAGATTCATTATCAATCATTAAATAAATATAAACGATCCACATCACTTAATTGCGTGGTGGTAACTCAATCCAGCAGTAAGCTCCTTTGCCCGCAGTCTTTTGTTCAGTAACTTCATTAATTTTGTTTACAGTGTCCAAAGTCGTTGGCAAAGTCTTAAAACATTTAAGAGATGCTAATAAAGACAATCTTTTCAAAAACTCTACTGTATGAATAGTTTAGATATGTTATATATCTATGATAGTTTTAAAGAAAGTTAATAAAATAAAGTTTATTGAAAATTTTAAACATCATTGCCAAAAGTGAAAAAGCAACTGACAGAAGGAGTTTTAAACATCATGCACACCTTTACATTTATGACATTCAGCCACTGTTCCAGTCAGACGGAAGGAGTAAGAACCAAAGTTTACGTTTCAGCTGGTTTATCGTCTTCGATTGCCACCACGTCAGAATTGCCAGTCACGTTTAACTCTAAATAAGTAAAGAAAACATGGCCTATTTGTATTTAAATTTCGGCAGAAAAAATATGTATTTTGTTGATTTGTATCCGTAGCTGTACACATTTTTAGAGCAAGGTTTGGGATGTTCTTTTTAACCACGATATCTAGGAGTGGTATCATTACATTTTACACCAGGTAACGAATAAAATATAGAAAATAAGTGAAATTCTCTTTTAATGTGAGATCGAGGAAAAAGCGCTTGCTGAAGTTTTACGCGTCGTAACCTCGTAACTAGTAACTTCATATTTTAAGAGAATGTTGAATTCGAATTCAAACCATAAGAACTGAAATTAAATGTTCTGTATTATTTGTTAGCACTCAAAATGATTTCGCGGTAATTCAAGTTATGCATTATCTTTATACATAATTTTACTGAATAGTAAATTTCAAAACCGGCTTCCTTTCCCGCAAAATATTATAACGATATTTTTTTTGTTACGATGTTTAATGCTGTTATATTGTGGCACTATTCATTATTCCAATTAATAAGCGACTATAAATATTGAAAATATTTCACGTCCACATCAAGTATCAACCAGTATATTCTAATTTTAATCTTGGATATTGCAATGAATTTATGTAATAATGGAAAAATATAATGATACGCGTGAAACACGCAAAGGCAACATAAAAATTTTAGCCGTACCCAAAGGGTAAAGTGGGTATTACTAAGACTCCGCTGACTGTCCGTCTGTTTGTCCGTCCGTCTGTTACCAGACTGTCTATCTCATGGACCGTGAAAGTTAGACAGTTGCAATTTTCAAAGATAATATATTTTTGTTGCCACTATAACGATCAAGACAGAATAAAAAATATTTAAGTGGGGCTCCCATACGTACTTATTTATAGATAATGGTATCGAACCCTTCGAGCGCGACTCATACTCGCAATTGGTTTATGTCTTTTAAAAGGCTAACCAATAATTAGCCAACACATTGGTTTGAAATTCAAAGCATTGTTAAGTAAGAACGGCCAGTAGAAATGATGTATGCAGGGCGTCGTGCTCTATATTCCGTAATAGAGGAAGCCAAGACAACCCACGGAGTGATCGAGGCAGAGCCACAATTACAGTAGGCATGTTACGGGAGCGGTGTTTGAAAAGGAGCAATTTAAATCATGCTTATATGAAAAAAACTCATGAGGGTATTTCTACCCTCATGAGTTTTGAGTTGAGAAAAATAATGCTTTCGTATTATTTTTTTTTTACCGCAGAAACGGATACTCAAAAGAAATGTTTAATGAGGAAATATTAATTTTAGGTACTTCTCGTCGAAAAGGGGACTTCGTATATACTTAGGTAGGGCTATGATCCTTTGAATAAAGCAGTTGTCTATGATGCCAAATTACATTTTTAACTTAATCTTCTTTAAATTCCAGTCTCAGTTTGAATAAAGGCAAAATCCTTAGCGATATCAAAACTCAACGACGACAGTTACGCACACTGTTAATGCTTTGGTAGTCATCGTTAATTTGTTAAGCGTCCCCGGATTACGACTCGTGGAAATATAAATACCTTAGAATTGACTTTACAGAAGCCACTTTGAATCTTATACTTCATTATAAATTGTTTGCCCTTTCTCGCTGCCAGTTTATCGACATTTCATAAGCTAAGTAATACCATAAATGTCTGACCTTTAGCAGAACAGAAAATAGATTGTAACTTTATGAGCCTTTTCTATTACGTTATACAGTCATAAGGGTTTGTTATTTGGACGCGACTTCTACTCATACTACATACATTTAAAACAATGCTTGAAATAGCAAGGCTAACGAGCTTGTACTTCACCTGATGTTAAGTGATAACCGCCACCCATGGACTTTTGCAACATACATAGTGTTGCAAATACGTTGCCATCTTTAAATAAAGTGGGCCCCGGCTACCTCACTAACCAGACGTAACGCAGAAGTCAACATTTCTACTCTGTATAGCAGCCTTTTGTGAGGTCGTAGTACTTACCCAGACGGACCTGCCCATTCGTGCAACAGTGAACACTGTTGCGTGGCCCTACCACAGTTTCTTCTACACATTTGGCTAATGTTTTTTAATGTTGCTTCAGGTCCCCCGCGAGAGCTTCAAGCACATAGTGAAGGCGTGCGAGTGCCCGCTGTACTGGAAGATGCCGCTATTCCTGGCCACGCAGCAGAGCTTGCATGCGCCAGTCGACGGGCACAAGTTCATCGACTTCTGGAGAGAGTGAGTTGCAATGGGACCTACAAAACTCATTGTTTTTTCTTCGTGCCATTATCCCCCTTCTTAAGAAAAAGTGTTACGAGAGAAACTGTCACAGCTATGTACAAAATCAGCAACATAAAAATATTTAGTGTAAAATACATATTAGCATGGTAAATATACTTACGATACTTAGCTTATTTAACTTACAAATAAACATCAACGTTAGTTTGTTCGCATTAGTCTTTAACAACGGATATCATGAGGCAATGAAAGTCACACAAAGAAACTTAAAAACACTTCCCTATACGCCGGCTCATTATTTTAAGGCAGTTGTTCTGCCCAATCGTTCAACTGCAGCAGCTGTTGTACACTAAGTGTACATTCATGTAATATGTCAATACCATGATACAAACTATCAAAACACATTAGTAGAACATATAAAATTGTGATGATCATGAACATTTTGGATGAATACTATACGTAGTAAACCATTTACCAGATTACGTTATCGGTTGAGTATAACGATATTATAAACAAACCAAATACTGTATCGCCACGCTGCATAGTAAATAGACTATCCTGAGCGGCGAGCGATAATTTCAGGTGCGGATAGCAAAACCTGGACCGATTCCAAACCGTGGACGCAGTTTATTCGTTCGACGTTTAAATTTACGTCGGTTCGTATTACGACCGGCTCGCGCGTTGACTAAACGCCCAAGAAACGTATTTCTTCCAGAATGACGTTACAATGCCACGACCTCGCCTCGCGGTTCGTGTACATCCTGACGCGGGGTAGGAGCAACACTCTGTCTCCCGAGGACTTCGTGCCGCTGGTTCAAGACGTCGTCGACACGCACCCGGGACTCTCGTTCCTGAAAGAAGCCACCGAATTCCACTCGCGATACGTGCACACGGTGTGTACAAGGCCTAATCGACTTTTAAGCCTTTTTGGATTACAATTCACTATTCCATATTTAAACCATCTTTGGATTACAATATATTGTTCTTAAACGAAACACCCTCTGTACAGAGGAGGCCTTTGCCCAGCACTGGGACATGTATAGGCTGATACTTCACTTACTTTATTTTATTCTTAAACGCAATGTTCGAATATTTAGTTCCAATTGATTTATTATTTTTCCATTTGCGATTTCTTATTTATACATCAACTGCAACTTGTTTTACTTGAATAACGTGATGTGAAAATATAACAAAGTAACGTATTGAAGATTTTTCCTGTCCATACCACACGTTAAGTAAATACTAACATTAATTATTAAAACGTTACACGTATTCTGGAAAAGTTGGGAGAAACAATTAACGTCTGACGCAAAGATAAGTAACATAATCGCGCGTCGAAACTTTTTGCTCGTTATTAGATTAAGCCCGAAGCCTCAATATGATTATAGTTAATAAATTTTTCCAAATTCCCCGAGTTATTTAATTTAAAAGATATCAATATTGTTTGGAGTTTTTGAGGATTCCTTGAGTTTTGAAAAATTTTGTGCCTAAATCAAAGTTTTAATCAATTTACAACAGAGTTAAAGTTTTGAATACTTAGGTTTATTGTTATTATGATGAGTTTTCCATTCCGTCAGGTTATCGCTAGAATATTTTACTGCGTCAACCGATCGTGGTCGGGACGAATATCCATACCTGAGCTGCGGAGATCCAATCTTCTTCAAGTGATACAGTTGTTAGAAGACGAGGAGGACATCAATCAAGTAACACAGTATTTTAGGTAACACCGAGACAAATTCACTATTTAATACTACTACTTGTTATTTGGTAATACTAAATTAAACTGTTTTTCGGATTTGTCACGTTTATTTTTAATTTCAACTCCCGACGTTTCGAACCCTATGCAGCGTTCATGGTCACGAGACAGACGGGTTCGAGGCGTCGGCGATTAACATTTAAATATAAACGCCAAATATCCGTAAAAATAATTTCATTTAGTAATATGTAGTATAACAGAAGAAATTATCAAATTTCCTAGTACTAATCTAATATGTATTTATAATGTTCTACGTTGACTACATGACAATACTTCCATGGGAATCATATTACATAGACATCTAACCACTGGTATCCCGTCAATTAAAACAGAAAGACCGTATCAAAACAATACCTATTTATATTTTCTACTAGCCACCAAGGAATTTATTTCGTATAGAACATTCTTTGTTTAAAGTTTTAAAAAATAAGTTTCCACTAAGATGCATTGTGAATAGGTTATCAGAGGTATACAAGGTCGAAACTCACACACTCGTGTGAACAAGCGTCTTATCGGATAACTATACAAATTGGACCTACATGTATGGCATAATGAAGAAGAACTTTATTTACACAAACCAAGTATAGAGTTTGGAGTGGCAAGGAGCTAGTAATATAGCTCGTAGAATGATAACCGATGGGGAAGAAATGTTCTCGAGTGGCAGCCTCATACTGACCATCGCAATGTAGGACAACCTCCTATTAGATGGAGACTCGTGCAAATGTATAGGAAGTCGATGGATGCAGGCGGCTCAGAATCGTGCTGCGTGTCAGTGTGTGGGCCTTTGTTCAGCAACTTTGTTGAACTCTAACCGGCTGAAATTATGATGATAAATTTAGAGTTTTCTAATTACACAACTATCTCTAAAGACAGACAACGAAATTATTCAGCTAACGGAAGCTATTAAGAATTTATACAAGTCAATGCAGTATGATTTCCAAAGTTTTTCCATACCAACAGTAATAAAATAGGTACAAAAGATTAAATTTAGTTACTTATATTGAATTTTCCCCGGAGAGAAACAATGTTATAACCATTTTAATAAATTTAATAACTTTCTGATATTGATTGCTTCAGCTACGAACACTTCTACGTGATATACTGCAAGTTCTGGGAGCTCGACAGGGATCACGATTTGTTTATAGACAGGCACGACCTTGCGCGGCACAACGACCACGGTAAGCGTTAAATTTACCAAACCTACACATACCATATATATAACTCAGTCAAACAATAATCTGTTGAAATCATTATTTTTTTTACTTAAATATTTATATATAATACATTGTTTTTGCTAACATGAACTGACTATAAAGTATGATAGAATGTAGCCATTAATTTTCAATAATCGCAAACAGAACTTTATGACTTCTACTGTTTTAAATACCAGGTATTTGTTTTTAGACATGCATGTGCCAACGTTTTTTTGACGCCGGGTGCCATGGATTCGATTCCCACACGAGACGATTATTCGATTGACCCACAGATAATAAGTGTATCGGATCCGTGATGCAATTTATATATTATGTAAACATCCTTACAACACCGAATACTGTTATCCTACAGTAAGGGACCGATGTTTTTGAACGGAAGAATGCAATAGATCTTTCTGTGCCGCAGTGATAGTTTAGCATACCACTCAACCCCCTCCACACAAAATACAAAATATCCGTTCAAGTTTGACGCAAGTCCTCGCCTAGCCAGTGCCTGCGTCCTTTTTTATGTTAGGTGGCAAACGAGCTGGCAGGAGCTGGTTGGTCCTGATTTTAGAGTGATAACCGCCACCCATTGACATTTGCAACACTCGTAAGGTCGAAGATGCGTTGCCACCTTATAATGAAGTGCGCCTTGGCTACCTGACTCACCAGACGAAACGCCGAAGTATTACACTACCACTTTACGCCGGTCTTCTGTGAGGTCGTGGTACTTACCCGGACGGAGCTGCCCGTTCGTGCAACAGCCGCGGCTGCGGCGTGGCCGTTCACCGTTAAGACGAACGGCAAATGTACGCTTTAGTACACCACGGCGGTAACATTGAACTCCTGTCACGGTGCCATTTCCAGCGCTCTCTAGCCGCATGATCGAGCGCGTTCTCTCCGGCTGCGTGACGCGCGGCAACCAGAACAGACTGACGCCCGACGGCGAGCCGAGGATGTCGTACACGGAGTTCGTCTGGTTCCTGCTCGCGGAAGAGGACAAGACGCACCCCGCCGCCATCGAGTATTGGTTCAGGTACCTCTGTTTGCTGGACGACTTGTTTTACATGAACGCAACGGAAAGGGGTTTTTTTTTATGTGAGAAAGTGGCAAACGGGCCGACTGGTCACCCGGTGTTAAGGGATAACCGCCGCCCGCGGACATTTGCGCCCGTAGGGCTGCAAATGCGTTGCCACCTTTAAATAAAGTGAGCCCCGGCTACCTCACTCACCAGACGAAACGCAGAAATGTAACACTTCTACTTTACGCCGGCCTTCTGTGGGGTCGTTGTACTTATCCGGACGGGCCTGCCCATTCGTGCAACTGCAAAGACTGTTGCGTAGGGTCCACAGTCAAAGGGTGGTTGTTATGGCCTGATTGACGGCGTAATGTAAATTATTAACACTTTAGTATTTGGTCCGGTGAGATAACCAGTCAAACACTTTACTTGAACGAATGTTCTGGTGTAGAGGAGACATATAGATGGTGATGGGCATCCGCTTTATAAAACAAAACGTTGGCGGTAGGTCCAGTTACTGTGGATAAGGCAGAGCATACGAAACGTCAGTTTTCTTTTGTAGGTATCGTTTCCTTTTACGTCGAATCGTATTTTAAAATAATTATCCTTTTAATTGATTGCATTAATCACAAAAACTTCTGCTTTGTATAAAACTGACAAAATAAAACCTGTAAAACTGAGTCATACTCGTATAATACGTTTAATGGTTTTCAACGAGGCAAAAGATCAACGACCTCGAAAGTAACCTTAAAATTCACTGAGTATCGGAATTTTTCAATAGTAAAATTTAAAATGGCCTTGCATGCCTGAAGGGTCTCGAGAAAGGTTTGATATGGGTTGGTCACGTAAGCGGTTATTACCATACTGTAGATCCACCATGCCGAGTAAAACGCAATGGCAATCTAACTAGTTTTTGTTATTAATTTGTCATTAATTCATTTAAGTTTGTAAAATATGTCCTTTTTTGGTCAGTGTTAATTCGACTACGGAATTCATGTATCAAAAGAATTTTTAAAACATAAAGAATCTTGTTCAGAAATGTGTTAAAATAAAAAAAAATGTACGTAGCCAAATGAAACTGTTATATCGAACCTATAACTATAGATTCAAGACAAATTTCTTAGAAAGTAACACAGCAAATGTTCACGAATCTAAATAAGCATTGATTGTATAATTAATTCTCCATAACGTATAATCAAACGCATTTTGTGTGTGATATCAACAAAAATAAGTAATTGCACCTGAAAAGACCAATGGTCGTAATGCAAATATTGCCTTACTGCATAGCTGAAGTCCTCTTTGAGCCTATTTCACAACTCCACTTATTTGATACCAAAACATTAAGATATAATAAAATTCAAACCTGTTGTAGGCCTCATACTGATATGTCAGTAAATAAACAAATCCGTAAATGTAAAAAATAGAAATTCATTTAAATTATTGCGAAAATATGAAATTTAATACATAAATAAATAAAAACTTTCGCCGATGCGGGATCGAAACTGCGTCTTCTGGGCGCGTTGTCCTAACAACTCCATTTTAAGTTTAATCTTTTTTAGACACTAGCAATAAAATAAAATATTAATCATAAATAAAAAAAATTATTAATCGTTTGATTATTACTTAAAGTTAATTCCACTTGAACACGCACAAAACATTTCATCAAAGTCGATCCAGCCGTTTAGGAGGAGTTTCAGTCACACACACACACACAGAGGAATTATATATGTAAAAGTGTATGATATCCATATTTGAATATAAAAAAATGTTTTCCAGGTGTATGGACTTGGACGGCGACGGCTACATATCTATGTACGAGTTGGAATATTTCTACGAAGAGCAGATGCAGCGCATGGAAGCCATTGGTATCGAGACGTTACCATTTAATGACTGCTTATGTCAGGTGAGAAGAACATTTCAGCCGTGTAAAATTCTTCTCCATTAATTGACTTGAACCATCTTTCCAATTTAATATTTTTAAAACATTTATAAGCATTAACTTTTTCTATGATATTTTTTATTCACTCACAGCCAAAACTTATTCAACATGAGCAATAATAAACGTTTGATCTTTTTTATGTAGAAAGTTGTTAAGCGGTTAACCTAATGTTAAGTGATTGCTATCACCCATTAAACATACAACACCCGGGGCGTTGCAGATGTATTGTCAACCTTTATTTAACTACAATTCTTTATACTCCTTTGCGGTGGTAAAGCCACTCAACACTGTTGCACGAATGGGTAGAGCCGTTTGGGTAAGTACCACGACCTCACAGAAGACCAGCGTAAAGTAGAAGTGTTACACTTCTACGTTTCGTCTGGTGAGTTAGGTAGCCGGGGCCCACTTTATTTAAAGGTGGCAACCCATTTGCAACCCTACGAGTGTTTCAAATGTCCATGGACGGCGGTTATCACTTAACGTCAGGTGAAACGCCAGCTCGTTTGCCACTTTCTCACATAAAAAAAATACTCCATTCTTCAAAATTCTTAAGTGTAATATATAGTAATTCACTTCACGGCCTTCTACTGTAAGCCTGTGGCTTTCTACAGTAAGTGGTTATTTCCCGGACGAGCCTGCCCACTCGTACAAGCACGATTCTCAAACCTACCAAATACACATATAAAATATCGTAAAAAAAGGGACGAAAGCTTTTCGGAGAAGTATGAAACTCGAGAATTTTATATAGGTATATAGATATAAAATTTGTTTCGTTCTGCAGATGCTAGATCTGGTGCATCCCGCCGAAGACGGCAAGATAACGCTGTCCGATCTGAAGAAGTGCAAGCTCACGCCGATCTTCTTCGACACGTTCTTCAATTTGGAGAAGTACCTCGACCACGAGCAGCGAGATCCATTCGCGACGCAGCGCGACTCCGACTCCGAGGTCATTGGCCCCATTTTATAACGAAACTTTTTTTTTTTAAATATAAATATCAGACGTTTTTTAATCGAAATGTTAAAACTTACAGTGGTCAGCAGTAATCAAAGCTGGTCAGTCTTCGTGTACATTTCCACCGATACCAATTTAACTACGATTCGTGATATCAAATATAAGTTGCACGTGAACAAACACACATGATCAGTTTCGAATTGCAAATAGACAGATAGATATACTATAAGGCCCATTTACACGGTGCCAGTTTCTTGCCTGTTGTATACAATTAAATTGCGCGCAATAATTGTTTAGACCATTTGTTGTTTAGACCATGCAACTCATTTATTGCTTCAATTTAATTGTATACAACAGGCAAGAAACTGGCACCGTGTAAATGGGCCTATAATCTATATGCTATTACTTATGACGTAACTGACTCTTCGGCCGAAAGCACAATCCGCAATATTTTTCCATTAGTACAATTGCACAACACATGTAGCTGTGATAGCTCATTGTCCGGGTGTTCGCTTTTATTCAATATACTCGAGCAACCCGAGTTCAATCCCCGGTGCCAATGAAACTGTTAATTTTAAGTTCTTACTTATCAAGTTCTTAGCGGTAAAGGAAAACATCGTGAGGAAACCGGCTATATCTTCTAAATATTTTTTTTGTTATTAGTATTTTCTAAATAAAAACAAGAAAAAAACATTTCAATGATATGAGAACTCCGCCAATCCGCAGTGGGGTCGCGTGGTGGGTCTTTGCCCATCTGTGGGACATATCCAAATAATAAAAAAGCTTATGCTTTTACTTTACTTTTACAATACCAGTACTATGAGGAATGTCTCGTAGAGTATACAGATCTTCCTACACTTTTCACACCGCCGACCGCTACTTTTTAAAACAGAATGTTGAAAAGGAGCAAACTGTTAGATAAAAACACGTAAAATTACACGGACTTTACTTCAAGCCGGTCTCAAATTAGCAGCAATTTGATGTTTTGCAACGACCGGGAGCCTCTGCGTCTTTGTGCCATTAAATGAGTGCTCTGTACGGTCAGCGGAATTTAAACTCCGAATAAATACTAATAGCGTTATAACAAGTTAACGCCATTATAAACAACAAACATTTGGTGTTAAGTTTATTCCAGTTGTATGCTTTGATGAGTAAAGGAAAAAAGTTTATTTTAATGAATTCCTCCGCCCCAAGGTTGCCTTGAGATCGCTGCTTAAGCGATAAGGCCGCCTGTTGTGCTCATGTTTCTTTTGATTCAGTATTTACACTGTAATGTTTCTTGGTGTACAATAAAGTATATTTTACTTTACTTTAAATAAAAACATTTTTACTGATAGTCCCCTTTATTTTAAAGCTAAACGAGCCGTCTGTCGGATTAAATGTCTGGGAAATTTAAATAAACGCTATCCGGAATTATTATTTCAAATATTTTGAATGTTTCTATTATTACAGATGTCGGAATGGGATCGATTCGCCGCTGAGGAATACGAACTTCTAGTAGCCGAAGAAGGTGGAAGCGACGCACAAGATCAAATGTAAGACAGTATTTGATGAGGAACGATTTACATCGAAAACAAAATGGCCCAGACACTAATGTTGCGTTAATTAACGGTCTCTTTTCGTCACGAACAGGCAGTTGTATAAGATAGTAAAGGACGCTGAGAAAGGGCAAGCCGTGAATAAGTTCTATGAATTGTGCGGCGCTAGACGAGTGAGCGGACATAGGCTTTACAAATAGGTGTCAATCGGCTGCGGTAATGTAGAAACAAACATATCAACAACAACAGTGCACGGAACTAGCGGAGAGCGCATTGTGCTGCACAAAGATTGGTCGTTCCATAAATTTATAATCGCACAAGCCTTTGCCATATTCTGCAAGAGGAATAACATTTAACTATCATAACCGTGCTACGTGCATACTACGAAAATATGTTCTGAATGCACCAAATACATCGATTTACCAACAGAACCGACAAACGTATATAGTCTTAATATTTCCTGTCCCATAAGACTTTATATATATTCAATATTTATTCTTCTATGACTTATTTCTTTATATACATATCATATAATATATATATATTACAATATTAATTTTTATTTTATTCATTATTATCGCACTTTTCTTCATCAGGGAGGAAGACAGAACTGGCTATGCTAGGGTAAGAATGTGTTCATAAATTGCCTCAAATGTGTATGTACCTTGCTGCATTTACCATTTCAACACAAATTGAATGGATCTGATTTAAAATAATGCTTGAAAACTTGGGAAAGCTTGTTTGAATTTCGAAATGGCCTGTTGTTGAGAATCGCATTTTTATCCCTCGTGAAAATGTCGCTTATACGTGTGGAAATTTGCATTTTACACCTTGAATATCTAATTATTATGTAAACTATTGCAGCAAACAGTAATTTTACATACCTAATTAATCCCAAAATCATTGAAGTTATTTGTCACAGACTTCGCTGCTTCGTCTGCCTTACTGATGAAAATTTATTACTTTGTACATACATCCTATCCTATATATACTGACTTGAGCTTTTGTTTTGTAAATAATATCCAAATTTTGATCAGGCATGGAATAACGCTAACATTAATTCCAAATGCCACTTGCATTCAGTACATATGGCCTGTTCGTTTACATCCAGACGCTGCTCTTAGATGTCTTTTAACAGCCTCATGTCCTGTTTCAGCTCATACGATGAGACCGATGAGGATTGTTTGTCGCCGAACATAGATGACGTCACATGCACTGAAGTTATCGAGGACTCCAGCGTGGAGGACTCTACCCTCAGCGAGGGTGGGTCGAGCGTCGTTAGTAGCGGGAAGGGACACACGGTCACAACGGCAGCCAGCGGCTTCGTTAATCTCAGTTCGATCTATTCAATCGGGAGCCCGGGTGGCCAAAGGTGGCCCAGCGCGGAGGGCGCGCCGAAGAACGGCCTGCCGGAGAGGAAATCCGAGAAGCCGGTGCCGCCCGAGAAGCCTGTCAGCCTGACGATGATGAACGGAAAGGTGGACAACAGACACGGCCCCGGCAACAGCAGCTTCCTCTACTCGCAGCTACTGAGCCCGAGCGGCGCGCGCGCGAAGGACCCGCCGTCGTACACGGCCGCCACCAGCGCGGCGGCAGACAAGGCGGCCGAACCGGGGAACGCCCCGCCCCCCGGGGCCGACAAGTCCCCCGTCACCAGCCCAGTGAACGGCGTGAACAGGATCTCCGACAACTACGAGAGGGCGATCGCCCAGCGGCTCGGCCCCCAGCGCGAGATCTCGAGGCTCAACCGCGGCGGCCTCTTCAGCAAAGTCAACACCGGCGTGGTGTCGGGCAAATTGAAAAGGAACGCGAGCCCCCGCGCCCAGGACGCGGAGGATGAGGACTACGCTCGGGACAGTGACGAGTGCTCCATTTAGACGCCGCCGGTGCGCTATTATCAGGGCCCCGTTGTCCCCGGCGGCCGTTGGTGTTGCCAGATGATTTTCGCCGCAATTTCACTGTGTGCCCACACCAAAGAGCGCCGCGACCAAGTGCAATTCAATAATTGACAGTGAACGTTCTGTTAGTGACCGTAACGCCATTGTTTTTAGAACAGAGAAATATTTTTTTCAACGTATCCTGGCGGCTGATACGTGCCTTGTGACGTGTAGTTACTAGACAATTCCATATGAGACTTTTGTAGGATAGCGTGATAAAATTAGTAGATGTGAATTGACGTGGAAAACTTTTGTAACACAGATGTTTCGAACGTTGCTTGCTTTTTTCAGCATTTTACTAGATAAGTATGTAATTTACCACATTGTTTGTTATTGTTTTTTTTTACGGTTATTTTGTCTCAAAGTTATTTTGTCATCGTATCGTTTTCTACTCCTTGCACGGGTTCCTATAAATGCATAATAAAGTGAGTCATTCATTTTATTATGCACCAGTAGTGTGATCGAATATCAATTCCTAACCGACGATCTATACCACCACAAATATTAAAATCCCTTGCACATGATTAAACTTTATTAAGTGAAAGCGTAAGAACATATTTAATTACCACAGAATCAAGCAAGTTGTAGTCTCATCATGGTCAGGCAGGATATATATTTTAGATAGATAACACATATTTAAATTTATAACGGGCTACGAGAAATAGTTAAAATAAAATTATAGATTCAGAAAGACATTGGCTTCGTCGTTATTCCGTCATTAAGTTAATTACTCATATCATGGCTCCATCCACAGCGGAATATTATTTTTAATAAAAATAGGCGTATAATATTAGAATTAACGAAAAATAATGTTGGTTAAGGAATGCACATCCCTAACCAGAAACACGCACATGTTATTTAGTATAATAAAAATATTTTTATAAGGTTTGCAATAGTATTACATCACAAACTTATTTTGGTAATTCTTGATATAAAATTAAGCAACGATCCGTATGGATCACTACCAACTTATTTTTTCATCAACCTTGTATAATAAGAGCAGTTAGACTTTTGTGGCAAAATTATATCAATAACATTACTACAGCCTAAAGATTGGTGCAGATTTTATATAAGTTTGAAGAATAACTGGGATTTAATATCTTCGTATACTTCCTAGATCTTTGACATAAAAACATTAGAACTTTGTACCTTCTTTCGATTACTTCTAGGTTATGGAATGTAAAGTCCGATACTATACATCCATAATTTCATTGTACCATTTGAAGAACAAAATTATTAATTTAAAAATATTACTTATAATTTTAAGAGAGCTAAGTTTCCATGACATCCTCCGGATTCCAGTCTGCTTCTCATAGATTCATTCGTTAAATTCTAATTTTTTTTAAAAAAAATTGTGATAATCTCATAAAGATGAATTTGGAATAACTTTTAGATTCTACTAAAAACGAGTAATTTATAAATTTTAAAATGTCATTGTTTTTTAGACAAATTAAAGGACGATTGTTAATTATTATAAAATCTTGATAAGTGAAATTTCACTTAAAATGATTTTTATGGTTATATGTTGTTATTAACTTTAATAATGGAACATGGAAATGATTTAAAAATATTGTTCAATTGGGAATTCAGCAAACTTTTATTTTAAATACCACCAAATAATCACCTTTGTGTATTGCTAACTGTCATTTAAATGTAAACTATAGGCATGATAAGCCAAACTAATGGTGAAAAGTATTTTACGAGGTATAAGCCTTTACGGAAATGGCAATTTGAGTAAACAAGTTAATAACACTAAAGTTTTTATATCGACAGAATTAGGTTCGGCTGTAAATAGGCTTGTAAGTTACGTGTATTTTATATATTCTCTAGTCTGCAGGGTGCTTATTCACAGGAAGTCTACCATTCAGAAACAATTCTGTATAATGAATATGAAACTGTTTTCCACAGCCAAAGAGTGGATATAAATCTACCTACCTATATAAGGTTTAAAGGCTTTTATTTTAGTACAGTGACACTTCTGTTATTCAGTTGTAATTTATTCAACTATTTCCGTAGTAATGAATATAGTGATACCTATTTCAATTGAAATGGTTTTCATTTTACTAACGCAAAATACGTTATACGTCGCCAAATCCAAAAAAAAAATAAGAAATGCTTACTAAAATTCAACTAGTCATTTTAGTATCTAATAAACCTGCAAGAAATATTATACGTAAGTATAATCAACAACCCTCTACCATTTACACCATTACCAAGTAGCAACCAAAACAATTGTTCAAATTTTAACAAATTTTATTAACATGTTGTATCCTATAAATTAAATTGTTTTTATTATAATATAGGTATGTTTGCATCTATTACTTCTTGAACTAGCTGTGTAACTTAGTTCGTAGGTTTGTGCCTACATTTAGTACGTATTAATTAAATTAACCTTTGTAACCGAATTTTAAACATTGAAATGTTTTGTAACTTAAATTGATTATTAACTAATATTGAATTTTGGGTATATATATTTATTGTTAGAATAAAATGAGTACCTAATTTCTTTTTTTACTTTGCAAGAAACCGTAATAACTTCCAAATAAAACTGGATCTTCTATCTGATAGCCCCAAGCCATTTATGCATAGTGCCATTTTTTTCACAGATGTATAAACTGCATTCTTGAAGACAAGATATGTAAAACATTGTTATTAATCTACCTTATTACGTACAATAAAAAACACATAAGAAAAATGGTTTGCAATACTTTTTGTTAAAAAGTTACTCTTTTGAAATTGTTATACGGTTGTAAGAAAGTATTATTATTACCTACTTCTTGTAGTATTAGTAAAATTTTGTGTACACAAGATATTGTGAATCTAGGACTAAAAGTTTATCGTTACATGCTTTTTTTTTCCTTATCTTAACACGTACTGAATTTAAAAATAAACTTCCTCCCTTGTTTGAAAAAATAACAGCCTTGTATAGAAAATGCTGCCTACTCGTATTCTTTGAGTACAAGTATACTAATAACAGTAACAGTATAGCCTATCTATTACATATATAAATTTGTGGCCAACAAAAGTATTATAACTGTACCGACCACAAAGGAAACAATGACAAATATACTTTTGCTCTAAAATTTCTTGTTTTTGTATAAAAAGGAATAAATGGTTACAAATGTTTGTGGTGACATAGATTTGATGTGTTAACAGTATGATAATATTGGTGGCAGACCTAGTTAATAAACCTAATAAAGAACATTACTCTATTTAACAAAGGGTTTTATTTTACTTCACATACAAGAGCGACATTTTAACCGACTTCAAAAAGGAGGACGTTATCAATTCGGATATTTATATAATATGGTTTCATTCCAAAATAGTCCCATTTCATTTTTATATAGATCTGATAATGAGTTTCGAAGATCCGACGACAATGGAACTCTACAAAAAATTACAGCAAATCAAACGCGATTGCTGCTATTTTATAAATATGCATTTTGTAAATTGTAAGCGTCTACTTGTTTGACAGTGGGATGAATTCGAATTACAACTCCATCGGCAAAATCTCCTATCAACGTTATTTCTGAACGTTCGCAAAGCAATCCAAGTTGAGCCATTGTAAATTAGCTGACTCAATTTGTAATCTTTATAAATAAATTACTTATGTTTTGTATGAGCATCTATGTATTAGTGTGAATTAAACTAAGAGGATTATTGTAATTTTCTTGATAATTGTAATTTAAACTACGTAACATATAGGTTTCTTTTTTAGGATCCGTACACAAAGGGTAAAACGGGACCCTATTACTAAGACTCCGCTGTCTGTCTGTCTGTCTGTCTATCGGTCTGTCCGTCTGTCACCAAGCTGTATCTTAACGTATCTGAACCGCGATAGTTAGACAGTTGAAATTTTCGTAGATGATGTATTCCTGTTGCCGCTATAACAGCAAATACTAAAAAACAGAATAAAAAATATTTAAGTGGAACTCTCATACAACAGACATGATTTTTTTACTATTTTTATAGACAATGGAACGGAACCCTTCATGGGCGAGTCCGATTCGTACTTATCCGGTTTTTTTAACAATCTGTTTTCGCACTAGTCAGACCTCTTACTTGAAATGCTTAGAAATTTTCTTTGAAATTTTTGACGCCTTTTTCTCATACTTGAAACGTCTGTGATAGGTCTAGGTAATACACTTAGTTATAAAAAAAACAAAGAGCCGTGATAGCTCAGTGTCCGGGCGCTCGCCTTTATTTCAATATACTCGAGCAATCTGAGTTCGATCCCCGGTGCCGGCACCAATGAAGTTTTTAACTTTAAGTGCTGACTTATCACGTGCTCCGCGGTGAAGGAAAACATCGTGAGGAAACCTGCATATTTTCGAAATAATAACAAAAAAAAATATTTTTCGAAGATGTGAAGTCCGCCAATCCGCAGTGGGGCCGCGTGGTGGACTATGCCCTGATACCCTCTGTATAGAGGAGGCCTTTGCCCAGCAGTGGGACATGTATAGGCTGTTACTTTACATTTACTTTTTTAAAATAAAACTATATGTAATACAATCAAATTTTGAAAATCTAACCTATATAAACTAACCTATGTAATTCCTAACAAAATTTAATAATTTTTGGAGTCAGTGCCAAGCCAAGATATTTATTAGGAATAAGAATGTTGAATGCTACGCCAGAACACGAGAACGTTTATGGCTCTTATTGGCAGAATGTGTCTATTGTCAATTTGCCATGCCAGTATTAAAAAATAGAAATGTCATTTAAATATTTTTGCTCCGTTAACGTAGAAATTTTGACTAATTTAAAAAGATTATTAAAATCAAATATGCCTTATTATGCAGTAGCAAGAGGAAGAACATCGGGTATTTTTATGAATTGGGCAGATTGTGAGACCCAAGTCAAAGGATTTCCGGGTGCCCGATATAAAAAGTTTAACACAGCGGTGGAAGCTGAAAAATTCATTTTATCAGAAGGTGCTTCAAAAGTATCCCAAAACAAATCCGAAACCATTGGAAAGTTTAAAACTTCCAGTTATACAAACTCAAATAATTTAACGGAAACAAATTGGAAATCTCGAGAAAGTAATAAACCTGATACCAAAAATACAAAAAAACGAACAGAAATTTCAGAAGACAATCATATAAGCAGTGATGAAGATTTCGATGATTTAAACTCTGTATTAAATAAACAAATGGACGATATAGAAAAAAGGTTAAAAGGATTTGAGAAAGGAGTAGACAATCTTATTAAAAAAAAATTAAAGACATCGGAAAAAAAAACAATATTAATAGATCCTCCACAAACAAAAAAACGAAAGAAAGGAAAACCTGAATTCACAAAAGACCAAGATGGATATGTACAGGTATGAATTAGGCTTAGTTGTAACTAAAACTTTATCTATTATGTTGGTTAAATGTAGTATGAATTTCTTGAGTCAGCACATTAATTATTACAGGTATACACGGATGGGGCTTGCTCATCAAATGGTAAAAATGGGGCCCGTGCTGGTATAGGTGTTTATTGGGCAGATGACCATCCGCTCAATGTTAGTGAACCAGTCATAGGACGTGCCACAAATAACTGTGGAGAAATTCAAGCAGCAACCTGTGCCATAAAGCTTGCCTTACAAAATGATATAAAAAAGTTGGCCATTAACACTGATTCCCAATTTCTCATCAACTCTGTCACTAAATGGATGCCTGGTAATAAAATAATGCAATATGCAGTTGCAATTTATAGTTCTTAATAAATATTTTTTTACTTATAAATACTTGTTAATGTCTTATATAAACATTTAAATAAAGAACCTTTATCCATTCAGGTTGGAAACGAAAAGGCTGGAAGTTGAAATCTGGTGAACCTGTTAAGAATGAGAGGGACTTTAAAGATTTAGACAACTTTCAAAATCAGTTGCAAATTAAATGGAACTATGTTGAAGCACACAGGGGAGTCCATGGCAATGAAATGGCAGACCAACTGGCAAAAGCAGGTGCAGCTAGATACATAAAATGACAAAAGCAAACAGATAACATTCCCAAAAAAAAAAAAGTATTATTAATAAGTAAAAATAACAATGTATAGTTGAGAAAATAAAATCTGCTGCTGGTCAGCACCGTGTAAAAAAATAATGTAACATTAGAGTGCAAGTTGTAAAGTAAAATCTTTTTAAAGTTTATATATAAAATGTTTTATTCTTAAAATGACTTGTTAGGTTTTCATAAATAAATGCAGTTGTAGGGAGCAGCAAAGAACTTGAACTGCAAAGCGAAATAGTGAAGGCAAAAGTTTATGCAGATACACTTTTATGCAACCAATCACATTAACCAGAGTGGTCAATATTCCCTGCCTTTGGTGTCCTATTGGGAACTTAAGCAAAACTAATCATATTTTAGTGCTTATTTCAAAATATTTGCTGTTTCGGTATACAGGGTGGCTTTTCTAAGTGTATCCATTGTTTTTATTAGATTCTAGACATAAATAATGTTATATAAAAAATGATAAATATTTAAAATCACTTGTAAGTAATTAATTACATTCATTTGATGAACTCATCTCAGAAAGTGTGTAATTAATACGCAACTCATTTATTTTACAGAATTTTAATATAAAATTTTTTAGGGAATAGAATGGCATTTTTTTTTTGGAAAAAAATACTTTGTTTTTTATTTCAATAAACGATTATACTACCAAGTCTGAACCTCCTGTGTAAATTTGGACACTTCTCAAAAAATTTCCCTGTATTTTAAATATCTTAAACTTATACATAACTAATTCTGTCACTTGTTCATTGTTTATAGTCTCTAAATATCTTTTGAAGTTCATCATAATTATTTGACAGAAATGATATAGGTATACACTTTTAATGTAGTACCATATTTCATATGCCAATGCCCACACTAATTAAATTGAAGATTGAATCGAATTAGATTTCAATTGCTCATAAATGCCCCTGGCTCGTGCTGATGTTGATGCTTCAATATCCTTTGTATAGGTTGCCTAGCAGTTGGGTCTTCGTGTATAGAGTGTGACTTTACTTTTATATCTTTACTGTATGTATGTGAATATAGCCGATCTGCCAAGAATCCCAGCTGCATGTCATAGTTCAAAAGTATAAGCAAAAAAATAATGAGTCCTTCTATCTCCAGCTGAAACAGTAAATCAAGAACATAATTTTCTCAAAAAGATAATGTGTGGGGTCTCCACAGACCTAGTTTCCACAGCAATTGGTACATATACACAAAGAGACATATTTGCGCCATTTACTAACTTCAGCTGCCTCTGATGCCACCTTGGCCCTGACCGAAGTACTCGGAAGAGAGGCCACCAAAATGTCTATGCAAGTAGCATCCAAAGGTTCTAAAAAGATTGTAACAAGAATTTGAGAGGGGAAAATGCTTGCCACTCTATTTTTACATGAAAGTCTGTGAAGACCACATTTATACTACAATAGCATTAGTGTGTTAGATAAATTATAGGGTATATAGAATAGGAAATATAGGGTACTCCTAGAATTAGACATATTCCTAGAGTCCAAGTCAATAAAAGGTAGCATGAAGCCAATAATTTCACTCTTTAGATCCTCATCTAAAGAGTCAAGTTATTGGCTTCAACCTGTAAAACGGGCATGCTCTATATCTCTATCTAAAGATAGAAACAAGGCTTTCTTTTTGTACACTATACCAAAACAAGATCCCACTGTTTTTATTGGTTAACCACCATTGGAAAATTTGGATAATGTGTGATGTTGAAAGGCAAAAGAGGTGTGGCGGGATTGAAGTGCCTCCTTTTATTAACAGGTGGGACTGTTATTGTATTTATTTTCTATTACTTTTCTAGGTAGTTTCATAAGTTAAAATGTACCATGCAGAATTTCTTAAAATATTAAATACTGACAAAAATTACATGTTATTTAACAAACCTAGAAGAAGCTTGTACTGCCATGTGCAATATGTACATTAATTCGAAATCAAAAACAGACCAGCATCAAGTAACTTTTGTAGAGGGAGATGGTAAGATAAAATATCAATGAGGTTTCAAAAATTATTTATTGAACCACTTTTTAATATCTTACATGTGGAGTTTTTGCACACCCACAACTGTAAATGAAAACTCAATCCGCATAACGCTCAATGGCTAATTAACAAAATTATGCATGGGTAAAATTGGACAGAATTTTATTGTGACTTCTATCCAATTGTACAAATCTATATTTAAAATCAGGTTTTCTTATCCGAACTTACGCAACTATGTCAGACAAGTATTAATAGACGCGATATTTACATTAATAAATGCTAAAATAAAATTACTCACATGTGCTATATTAAAGAAAATATCTATGTTTGATAAAAAGAATACTATAACATAATCAAATTGCACCAACTATATTATATATTTATTAATATGTTTACAGTTTTAATATTGCTGTTTAAAATCTGTTGCATGCATATTTGAATCAATATACTATACAAGCATAGGCTTTAAAAAAACGAGGACCATTTCCATGAAATATTGGAGCCCCTGATTAATTAAAACATCTTTGTATCACTAAAGGCTAGACACAAAAACTTACGATTACCAGTCTTAAAGTATCAAAGGAATATAAAACAACAACAAATTTATACAATATCTCATTGCCCTTGGCTTACATTTATTACAGAAATATTTACCAAGATTCCTATGGCAGTAAGCACTATATTCATAGTGACTCTTATAATCCTAACACTTGTTTTTCTGACTTTATGATTTGCAATTGTCAAAGAGACAACACATATAGGTACTTCGGTCTCAACCAATTTTTTCAATCATTTAATAGCTGTTATTATTGAAAGGGTAATTAATAATATAAAGAATTTTTGTTTTAAAATTCGTGGATATTCTCAATGAATAAGAAATAATTAATTAAACCCTTTCATTTACAAGTTGAAAAAATAAAATATCATTAAATTCATATTTTATCCTAATTAACGTCGAATAAACATGGATTGCATGTGACATCCAAGAACAATATGATTGTAAATAATAATGATCTATTGATGAATAGAAAGACCAACCTGATATTAATTTGTACACCAAGGTATGTACATTAAATGCAAAAACTGCAATATGTATAGAATATATAATTCATAAACGAAATATTAATCCCCTTGAGAGATTATTTTGCCAAGTAATTTAAAGTAATTTTGTACATTAAATTCGTTTCAGAAGAATTAAAAATTAACACACCATCTCTTCATTCTTTTAACATTGATGTTAAATAAACATGTATGAAATCACTTTCTCATATGAGCATAAGTTCTTTCTTCCAGTATTTCTCTAGTATCTATTCCAACATTTCGCGCATTACGCTCACCATAGACTGCCTTTTCTTTTCAAAGCCTCGAAATCATGGTGTATAGTCTATTTAAAAGAACTTTAGCCGATGCCTAAAAAAATCATCTGTATTGCTGCAATTAAAATTAAATGTCGCCGCTATAAAAGGTATTATGTCCCTTATTAAAGAAAACCGCAATATACCGCTGAACGCTTAAGAATGTCATAAATCATTTGATGCATCGTTTCTCTATAGTTAGATCCCAGTCTCGCAGCCGCACATGTACTTAACAAACTTATAGTTAGAGTATTAAATTATTGAAATTTCACATTCTGCTGCCCTTGAACAAACCGAATTGCTCATGTGTAATATTGTATGGTGTGAGCGCGGCGTGATGTCACCAGATTGGCACTGCCGGCTGCCCCCCCGCCAACAATCAGATACCCGCCAGATGTCACCACTTTCTTAGCATTGTCATCAGTGGATACCATCTGCACAGAAAGCATATTTATTTGTTATTATCATTGTCAGCTTATCATTACTTATTTTCACAGGCATAGTTGATGTAAGGCAGGCACAACATGATTTCAATGCTATGCCGACCTTACCTAGTTAAGATAAGGGCAGGGGAAGGCAAGACGTCAGTTTATGTTTACTCTTATTCTGAGTTCTGTGAAAATAAAATCTTTTGTGAGAATTAAAATAATATGTGAAAAACCTTAAAAAAACATATTGAACATTTTTACATGGTCTGATTTACTTTTATCTTAAATCTGGTATACATACTTGTTTATTGATGTTTAGCGATGACAGCTGTGGCGGAACTTGGGGCTTGTACGTACCAACACACTTCATTGTCTGGTTGCCGCTTGAATCTTCCACCATGCTCACTTTAACAAATAATCAGTCTATCTTATTAATCTAATATAATAAGTATATGTTTTGTATCTACCACATATTATTATCATTAAATCAGTAGAACTAAATATCTATCTCATTTTCACTCACTTAAGGCTTCGAAAGTTTTTGAATGGTAGACCTGTTGCGCAATACAACTTTATTAAGAATAAAGGTTAAAATTAACATTATGCCTTAACTTAGTATTACTAATAATTTATAAAAATTCGTAACAAAAATTTTAATGGGTGATTCAAGCACTTCTCATGATCAAATCTATTAAAGAAACATAATATTTTCTTGTTGAAGATGCTACATAGACCTATTCTAGGTACTTTACCTATGATCGATGACTTCTGACCGTTGTTCGGATCCTGAGAGAACACACGCAGAGGGGTCAGCTTGTTGCCGACCGTTAGGGTCGGCGCCTGCGTGGTTTTCTGTAACACCAAAAACGCATTCAATATAAATAAACAACTTTGCAATGTCATTCCACTAGCATATTGGTCCGATTCCAACTTGCAGATATTGGACAGAACGCCAGTTACATGTTTACTGTAATTTTAATTTTTTAATGTGGTCTAAATAAATACTCTTAATGTCTTGTTTAGTGGTTGATCAATCTTTTCGAGTTTTTTGGTTTTCATTTGTGCCTACATCACTGTCACACATTTGTGCCCAGTGTCCAGATGACAGATAATCATAGCTTGTCATATCATGGACTGAATAAAATCTGATTTGATTGGATGGAAAAAATTGATGGATTGAATAAAATCGGTAACACTTGAATTACAGTCACTAGCTTTCTCTGTCTACTCTAGTATGGTTAAAACCGTAACCAAAATGCGAAACAATTTATTTATATTAATTTATTTTTGATATTAGATCAAAAAATAATGGCGACTGTTGTTATATAATTTAACTGCTTTTAAATAGGCGTCATCAAATTGTTGTTCATAATTTTTAATTTTCAACTCACTGGGAGGCTATCTGGTGCCTGAATTATGTTATCGTGCCCTCCATCAGAGTTGCTTTCCTGCAATTAAAAGAGATTTTATTAAATTCAAAAAATCGGAGGTGATTAACTACTACCAATTTTATTATGGCAACGTGGTAGGTATAGAATCCTCGGCGTACGAGTTCGAATCGCACTTGACAGTTTTTTTTTTATAAATTATGAAATGTAGCTAGCGCAATTCCTAATTAGCACAAATGCTTCTCGGCACCATGCTGTAACGACTAACTGAAAGATACCCGTAATTTGGTTATAATTTGTTAATAATGTAAATATGTCAACATGATAAAAAGATGATGGGCAAATTTAGATTTTCGCGAAATCTCGTAATTATCAAAATTTACCTTAATTTTCAACTTTTTAATCTTTCGGAATTTTTTTCTTTATTTGTGCTCTAAGAACTTACTTTTTACCAAATTTCGTGATTCTAGGTCAACGGGAACTACTTATAAGTTTTCAACCCAAAACCTATAGGGAACTTCCGTTTGACCCAGAAATTGATTTTTATACACCCTAATAATAATAAAATAATAAAATATCTTTATTCACATAGACGCTTGCGCGTTCTTATGAAACGTCAAAATTTTACAAGAAATTAACACGTTCGTAAGGTACCACCGGTTCGGAAAGCAGTTTCTGTTGAGAAGAAACCGGCAAGAAACTCAACAGTTGCTCTTTTTAAAAAAAATCAGTTTACAATATAATAGTACATGTACAATAGTCTTGTTTTAGCCTACGTGAGTATCAACAGTATTAACCCCACACATTGGCGTCGTCAAGATATTCGGCAATAGTATAATAGGCTTTAGCCATAAGTGTACTTTTAATTTTTCGTTTAAATTCATCAAGTGGCAGACTTAACATCGACTGTGGGATTTTATTATACATGCGCACACTTTGCCCCATGAACGATCTGTTTACTTTTTGTAGGCGAAATAATGGCGTAGTTAGTTTGTCCTTATTTCTAGTATTTAGTTTATGTCTGTCACTATTCTTTTGATAATTATTAATATTCTGTTTAACATACAAAATATTACAATAAATATATTGAGACGCAACAGTGAGTATATTAATCTCTTTTAAAAAGATGTCTGAGTGTATTCCGGGCTCCGATGTTATAAATTGCTCGGACAGCTCTTTTTTGAATAATAAATATTGAATTTATATCAGATGCACTACCCCACAACAAAATGCCGTACGACAAGATGCTGTGAAAATAACTGTAGTAAACAAGTCTGGCAGTGTCGATGTCTGATAGCTGCCTAACCTTCCTAATTGCAAAAAAAACAGCGGAGCTTAACCTATTCGCAAGAGATGATAGATGGGGACTCCATTGGAGCTTTGAATCTACTGTGATTCCCAAGAATACAGCGGACTCAACAGGATTAAGGGTTACGCTATTCAATTTTAAGCTAAAACTTTGCCTTCTTACGTTGGGAAGGGCAAAAAGAAGGCATTTAGTTTTTTTTAGCATTTAACACCATATTATTAATGGTAAACCAGTGGAGGATACGCGAAAGTGCACTATTCACGTCGTCATAATTCGATACATTTCGGTCAACCTTAAAAATAAGCGATGTGTCGTCAGCAAACAGTACAACATCACATAACTCACTGGCATAAAAGGGGAGATCATTTATATATACTAAGAATAATAATGGGCCCAAGATCGATCCTTGTGGGACACCCATTTTCATGGGGGACCCTGCGGAATTTACATCATTTATAGATACTTTTTGAATTCTATTATTAAGATAAGAAGCAATGAGATTGAGGGCGATGTCACGAATGCCATAATAATCAAGCTTTAGAAGGAGGGTTTTGTGATCCACGCAGTCGAAAGCTTTTGAAAGGTCGCAAAAAACACCTATTGCATCTTGCGACCCTTCCCAGGCGTTATAAATATGTTTGACAAGTGCGATACCCGCATCTGTTGTCGATCTGCCTTTAGTGAATCCATATTGCTCATTGTGAAAAATTTTGTTCATATTAAAATGTACTAAGAGCTGATTTAAAATTAGTTTTTCAAAAATTTTACTCAGAGATGGCAATATGGAGATAGGTCTGTAGTTTCCTGGATCATTTTTATCCCCACTTTTGAAGACGGGGATTATCTTACTAAATTTCATAAGATCTGGAAATATTCCAGATTCTATGCAGTTGTTAAAAATATTAGCTAAATGTGGTGCAATATATGGCATTATTGTGGTCATTAATTTTATGGACATGCCCCATAAATCCCCTGTATTCTTAAGATTAATAGAATTCAAAACTTTTATAATATCATAAGTATCTACGTGATTAAATTTAAATGTGTGGGGACAAAAGGTAACATTATTTCTTAGAACGTTAATTGCATCTATGGGAGATGATTTTAATGTACGTGTGATATTAACTGCAATTTCTGAAAAATAGCTTTCAAAACTGCTTGCAATTTCATTATCTGATGTTATGGGAGAATTATCTATAACCAGTTTTATAGGTTCCCTGAATATCTTGGGTCTTCCAGATATACGGGTAATGATGTCCCATGTGGCTTTAATTTTATTGTTTGAATTTATTATTCTATTTCTTATATGAATAGATTTTGCCTGAATACAGACTTTTTTAAATATTTTTGAGAACATTTGTACCCTTTTATGAAAGTTGGGGTCATGATTCCACTGCCTCATATTATATAATTCATACAGTGAATCCCTACTTTTATATATACCCACTGTTGCCCAGTCACTAAATTTTAATTTTGAATTTTTAACAATTGTGTGCGATTTAAATACATCATTATAAGAAGATATGAGGAAGTCAACCATTGATTTATAAGAATCATTAGGATTATTGACTTCTATATCTTTATTTAACATATGATGTGCCACTTTTTCTTTAAAAGAATTTATTCTATTAGTAGTGACTGGTCTACACTTGATCTTATGTTTGCTTGTAATAACTTTTTCATTTATTGAAAATTTTAAACCAGAGTGGTCAGAGCTCAGATAATTTATAACATATTTATCATATACATTATCGTGGCAGAAGACGTTATCTATACATGTGGAGGATGAGTTTGTGACACGAGTTGGTTCATGAAAAAGATTATTAAGTTTAAATGAACTAAATAAATTTAAAAGTCGTTTACTAAGATGTGTCACTTGTAATAAATCCACATTAAAATCTCCACAAACTACTATTGATTTACTACTTGAACAGAGTTTTTTAAGTACATCATCCATTACACACTCAAAGAGATCGAAATCACCTGACGGGGGTCGATACACGCATACTATAATATACTGTTGACTCTCAACGCAGGATAATTCTATAGAACGTTCGACAGAGTGTGCTACTATATCCTGTCGATTTTTACAGACTATATCAGTTCTTACTAACACAAGAGAGCCACCGCGAATAGCATTTGCTCTTACGAACGAACTTAACAATTTATAGTTCTCTATATCTATAATATTAAAATGCTTATGTAACCATGTCTCTGTGAAGCAGATGACATGGATGTTAAATCTTCTAAGAAATAGCTCAATTTCAGGTTCTTTGCCACCTATGCCTTGTATATTTTGGTGTACAATATTTAATTTAAGTGGCTTAGGTGTTGTCTCAATGTTTAGTTTAAACTAACATTGTTTTTTTTGTAAAATTATTGCTAAGTAAAATGTTCTTAGTTGTACAATGTACAACCGGGTTTTGTATATTATATGCTACTAAAGTAGCAATTATTTTCTTATAATATAATGGCAAATACCAAGTATTTTTTGTCACCTTAAAACTAGACTTAATAAAACTATTTATGTCAAAATAAAAGAAAGCGTCACTATGACGGTGAGTTGTATTATATATAGTCATGTTAAGACTATATATGTCTTTATTTTGTTCCTCTGTAAGGAAGGAGGAATATGGAAATGCGCATATTATAAATTTACACTTAGTCTTGTAATGTAAGCCCAGTAATATTTCCATATTTTTGATAATTTCCTGTTTCCTAACAGATGAACTATCCCCATGAAGTAGTACAATAGTACTATTTTCATTTACATTCAATGTCAAGATTTTATTTATATTTTTCTGGAAACTTTCACCCGGTGAACTTATACTGTATAGATTATATATGTTTTTGAAATTAGCGAACCAAAACCTTGCCCTATGTTATCTGATACAATTGTAACATTTTGTTTAGTATATATTTCATTTTCATTGTTATTATATGACGGTTGATTGTATTCATGTATGACCAAGTCACTTCCTATCTCCTTAGGTATATTCTGAGTTTTTAATTTGTTTGGAGATTGTGATTTGGAGCAACAACATGTATTTTTGCTTGTAAATGATTCAAATCTATTATAATTATAATTACAAAGATCTAGTAAATTATCAGCTGCTAATATGTGTTCTTGTATTTGTTTTTGAGATGATTCATATTTAGCAGTCAATGTTTGTAGTGTGATATTTAAATTATTAATTTCAGTCTGGAGCTGAAGTGTTTCTTGGTCATACTTAAACCTATTTTGATCTATTTTATTTTTATATGATTTTACTTTATTAAATAATTTTATCTGCTCATTTTTTTCATTTCATAAATTTGTTTGTGTGTGTATCTATTTTTTAATAATTTATTCGTTTTCTTGATAAATCTTTTAATTTTGATGTATTTCTTAAGTTTATTTTGTGTATATAGGCGAGATTGCTGGATGCAAGAGTCATCTTTTGTCAAGTCTATAAACATTTGAGGATTACATTCCACCAGCTCAGCATACAGATTTTGGGTTTGGTTTGCATCACGAGATGTATTAATTTGTTCTAATTCAAGGATGGAGTTATTTGCCTCCCTTAAATTAATTTCAAGTTCCGCGATTTTTATTTAAGGCCCTCTCATGCTCATTGCTGCACTGGTTGAATGCACTCACAATTTCGTTTAGTTTGTCCCGCTGTGCAACTACATCCAAAAAACTTTTATGAAGTTCAGCGAGTTCACATTTTAATTCAGTATATATATAGGGACTATATATAGGGACTATATATAGGGACTACAGTCCTCAGTACCTGGTATAAATTTGCTTCATCGTCCAACCATTCCTGAGAAAATCGGTGGTGACACACAGACAAACAGATGGACGAGAGAGTGATTTTATAAGGGTTCCTTTTTTACCTTTAAAGGTACGGAACCAAAAAATGGTAATATCTGTGATTCATAATAGTTTGTTGTATTTTTAATACTTCTCATACATACAAGTAATCAGAACTCTATTAAATCTCTAGAGAAATAAAAATTATTCATGAAAAGAAATCTACTTCATTAAAAACAAAACACTAACACAAAAAGTAATAGTTTGTTCAGAGCTAAAAGAAATGTCTCGGTAAATCACGGTACACATGCGGCTCGAGCTCTTATTGTGTTTAGGTCGATTGTGCAACAACGAACGTAAACGTTACGCAGTGGTCGTCGCCTTTTATTGACATGATTAGCTGGTGAGTTAGGCACCTGGGCCCGGGTGAACTGCCCGCTGCTTGCCAACTTTTAACATCAAAAAAGCATACCTGACTTCTCTGTTGGGTGCACACTGAATAGTGTTGGGACCAGTGCGCGCGCTGGCAAGGGTAGTCGCAGTACGAAGTGTTCCAGCAGCAGTAGAACTGCGCCTCTTGATTGCAGTTCGCGCACCTTGGACGAGAAAATAATTTATAAACAAGTGCCGTCAAGTGACTTAACAATGACTTACTTGCAGACGAACCGAAGGTTCTATTCCCATTTGGGGAGAAAATATTCATATTAAATTCAATTATTTGTCATAAGTTATTTGTGTATATAATATTTTAGTTTGTAAAAGGCCATCTAACGTTGTCAGTATCACGTAAAATGTAAAGCTGGTTTTCAACATGAGAATATTTTAGGTAAACCCTGAAGATACACTTAATAGTAGTATTAGGCTATGACTGTGGTAAAGTTGCTTGGAAATTCTATGGTTATGTGTTTTCAGATCATTGTTAGTAGATTTTTATTAATCGACGAAACTTATTTAAGATAATAATCGAGCGCAACTCACCATTGCTTGGACTTTGCCAATTTGACGGCTGACTCTAGCTCAATTTGCGACGCACGTCTCACGTCATTCACGGCGCGGAATTTCTCCTTTTCGAAGGACGCCCGCATCTCAGCGAGTACCAGCTCTGAAATAATTTAACATCACAAAGTTATCACTGTTTATAATAAATACGACAAAATAACAATTAAATGAAACTATATTTACAGATTTATTGCCATTACATACGACGTCCTCATTCTAGTCAGAATCGGTCTTTACCATGATCATGTCAAATAAAAAATTTGAGATAGTTACAAAATAAAAAAAGCTATAAATTCATGAAAATATATCGAAGAAAAAATATACCATCTAATTAGTGTAAAGTAAATCACACCCATCCAGATTTTTTTAAATTAATAAAATAGTCAACTGTTTCTAGAATAATTATATCAGAAGTGATATTCTAACTTTGTATGTTGACAGTACAGTGCTTAGCTATATACACAGGGCATTTTAACAGAAATGCCTAACCTTATGGTTCCATTGAATCGCATATAGTATGATAATATGATGATATTAAAATTTGTTCGGAATACAACAATAAATGGAATTCTTATGAAGAGAAAACAAAAAGCTCACCATGATTGTGTTTAATTTCATCAATCTCTTGTTGATGCCTCCACCTTGTCTGCTCTAGTTGTAGTTTCATGGCAGTAAGTTGTGAAGCTGGCTCATCTATCTTCTCCAGGGAGTCTTCTAATAGTGTTCGAAAGAAATCTGTAAGCTGAAAACAAGGCAATAATTTCTTTACAGGCATAAAAGTAATCTGTGAGAAAATAGGGTTAGCCAAATTCAATCAAAATATCAGTTATATGCATGGCAAAAGTAGGAAAAACGTTACAACTCAGTAAAGTGTGGAAACTTCAAACAAATTTGATTGTTTAATATTTTATGTGCGTGATTATTCAAACAAGCACGGTTTTGGAAAATTAAGTAAACTATGTTATCATTAGAGTAGATATCAAAATTTTTTCACGCGTTTCTGTTATTTTATTTTTTTGTTCCTGAAGAGCTTAGTAGGCCTTATGTAGGCCGTATGTAAAAGAAATGCCATGTAGTCTAATCTACTTTGAAATCTATTATACAAAAAGTTAAGTATCTTATAAATTGGCAATGCTTTGATATGGACACTACAAGATCATAAAAATTACAATAGTTAATAATTAAAAATAAAAATTACAATGTCGGTATTCTAATAAAGGCTGGCGTGAAACCATTGTATATGGTTTTGAATTAATATGTACCAAGAAGTATTTTATGTACCCGAAGTACCATAGCAAGCACAGCTGTGTACTTTGACATTGTACTGATTGAATTTTGGAAGTTAGGTGAAATGATCCTGTATTGTCTCAGCAACTTGGCATAGTAGAATATTTTTTCTTTTCACTTAGCAAGTTGCTTTTACTCACTGTCTAGAAGAGCTATTAGCTACAGATGACTACTTTTTTCGATGATAGAGCAGTTATTGTAAATATTACATCGTCAAATTAAACTGTATTTATACGGCGGGCGTAAGAGTTGTTTTTAGGGTTCCATACCCAAAGATTAAAATGGGGTTCTATTACTTAGACTATGCTGTCTGTCTGTCCGTCTGTCACCAAGCTGTATCTCATGAACCGTGATAGAGTTAGTAGCTATGACATATACTAAAAAAGTAGAATAAAAAATGTTTGAGTGTGGCTCGCATACAACAGACATGATGTTTTTGCCCTTTTTATAGGTAATGGTAGGTTTTGTTTTTATGTGATAAGTTGTCGTGCGAACATGCGATCCAACTAAACACGAAAAGGCTTTCTGATACTTTGGCAAACTTCAAAAAAGGGTATCCTGGCAATAATTATATACACTTCAAGCTGCTCTTCTGTGAGGTCTTGGTGCTTCCCCAGACTAGCTTGCCCATTCGTGCCCAATCACAGTAGACTTTTTGATGATCTACCAGGAGACTATAAAAAGTACGGTTGTACCTTGACAGCATTCTGGTTAAGCTTTGCGGTTAAGGGTCCGGCTGTTGAGGGTGGCGGCACGCATCCCATGGGCGTACTCGCATCAAATGGGTTCAAAAGCGGTGGTCTTTGTTGAAGACGTGGTAGCTGGGGAGAAATTCAAATTTACCATATTATATTCTACCTATAAATTAACCCGAACTAAGCAAAGCTTGCAGTCTGGGTACTTGTTAATTGATAAACATACTTGATTATTTTATTCATATTATTATGGTAGTAGTATTAGTAGTATTAATTTTTATGTAAAATGTTGACGTTCCATAAGAACGCGCAAGCGTCTATGTGAATAAATATATTTTTGATTTCTATTTATTATTTTCTCAGTAGTTTCCTTTTAATGGCCCAGTTGACAAATTTATCGTACTTGTACCATGTACAAATATAAACATTGGTTCCATATGTGTTTAACGTAACCATTCATGTAACTATAATGCAACACATGTCAATGTTCTTTTAGAGCAGTGACAACAATGCATTTTGAACAGTAGATCAATAGTAGGTGGTACACGTTTACCTCATACCAATTACCAAATCGAAAAGCAAAAATAGTTAATTACTACTTTACACCAGGCCTCTGTGAGATGGTGGTATCATGGACAGGATGAGCGGTTTATGCAACAGTAGAAACTGATGCGTGACTACGTCACAGAACAAAAGTTTGAGCTTTATGCTACAATATTTGATGAGGCAAAGTAACCTACATCGGCAGGTGTATCATTCCTGTTTCCTTGCATCGGATTGGCGGACGATACGGGCATTAGGGCAGTAGAGGATGTAGCGGAAGCGGAAGCTGACGCGTTTGGCATCGCGGGGGACGTTAGGGCGCTCAGGTGCGCCAATTGCGTTGGTAGCGACATGATCGGACCGGCGTTTCCCCTTTCCGCTATCCCGTTCACTATAGGCGTCGGCGTATCCTGTAAAAAAGATGAAAATTTTCTTTAAATAAAGGATAATTACATTATGCTCTTACTCTGTTCTGTTATCGTAACACATTTTTAATTATAAATAGTATAACAAGAGTGTGAATTTCTGAAGACAGACAAATGAAATTATTTCAACCATAATATGTAAATTGCGACGAATTCAATAATTATTTTATTGTTACAGCTGACAGTGATACTAAACGGTGACGTTAAAAATAATATTTTCATTAATATTATATTATTATTCACGAAAATTAAACGTCAATTAAATGTACACATAAGAAGAAAACATTAATATATATACTCACGTCCACTCCACCGACGGACATGACAGGCTGCAAACTGAAGGTCCACTGGCCGTTGACGGAGGTTATGAGCGGCACCGTGTGCACATTCGTGGCCACTTGTCCCACCGTGGGTATCTGGCCAAGATTGGGCATCTGCCCAGCCGAGGGCACGGTCGATAGCGCGTTGCTCGTTACGGTATTCGCGGAGCCGGCACTGGATATGGACGAAGGTACGGAATTCCCCAGCATTGGCGACGTTAGCGTGTTAATGCCGCTCGCTGCAATGAATATTTGGAAAGGTGAGTTTGAGTTTCATCAATTTTCAACAATACCTGCTGGAAGCTCATGTGTCTCGCCTAGCCTACCATACTTCCAAGTTAATAGGTTAAAATTTTATAATTGAACTCGTTGAATATTAAGCCTTGAGGAACAACCACTTCACGCCGATCTTCTGTGAGGTCGTGTACTTATCTATTTGGGCCCATTCGCGCAACAGCCGAAGCTGTCGCGTAGCCCTACCACAGATCGGATAACGCAATCAACGATGTGCCTTTTTTTATGTATGTCTTCACCTGATGTTAAGCGATAACCTCCGGCCGTGGACTTTTGCAACACCCATACCCCAACGCATCTGCAACCCGCAGATGCGTTGGCACCTTTAAATAAGGTGGGCCTCGGCTAACTCACTCACACCCACAGACGAAACGCAGAAGTGTAACACTTCTACATTACGCCGGTCTTCTGTGAGGCCGTGGTACTTAACCGGACGGACCTGCGTGGCCCTAGCACAGTTGAACGCTTGACTGCAGTAAACTCATACTCACCGGGGGTCATAACAGTCGGCGCGGGCATTCTCGGCGCGGTGACGTTCGCCGGGCCGTTGAGCGAGGGCGGGCGGACGCCACGAACGGGCGCCTGCGTCATCGGCGGCTGGATCGGTATGTACACCATGGAGTTCTTGCCGTTCAGCTCGGACCTGCCCTCGTCCGGCTTCTTCGGCTGCGGGAAGGTCTTCTTCGCGCGCACGCGCATCTCCGGCGGCTTGGGGGCGCTCTTGCGGCCGCTCAGCGGCGCCACCACCACCTTGTTGATGCGCACCTCGCGCAGGTTGTTCGTCGCCGTCTGGATGACTGGGCGCAGCTTGAATGCGTTCATCAGGTCCAACTTCTCGGTCTGCCGCTCCGCGTCGTCCAACTCCAACGGCTCGCTCTTGATTTCCACCGGCTCCTTCTCTCTCTCCCTCTCCTTCTCCTTCTGTCCCCTGTCCGGCGAGGTCATCCGCGCGAACGCTCTCACCCCGACCCTGCCGACGGGCGGCGGGTCCCCCTCGCTGCGGAGCCTCTGCAGCTTGTCGACCGCTTCGCGCATGTTGCGCACGTTCTCCGTGCTGGTTGGCGTGAAGACGCTCGACTCCGACGGCATCTCTATCGTCACCTCAACAGTTTTCGCGGCCGCCGTTGTGTTGGTCCCGCTTGGCGCCACCGAGAGGCTCCTCACGCTGCTGATGGTCGGTAGGCCGGCGGCGCTGTTGCTTATTATACTGGCCTTAGTTTCGCGCGCCAAGTCCGCTAGCACTGTGTCGTCGTCGATCTGCTTCCGCTCCTTGCTCGACGTTGGGCTGTCAGTGCTCGACTTCACCGTGGACACACTCCTTTTAGCGGCGCTCTTATCGGTGTCGGCTTCCTTGATTTGCTTAGTTGAGTTGTCTCGTTTCTCTCTGCCGCCAGATGTACTGTCGGCGCTCTTCTCGACTTTCTTGTCGGGATTCCTATCGGTTCTCTCGCCGTTGCTGCTCGCGCACTTGTGTTTGGAGTTCCTCCTTCTCTGCGATCTCGGCTTGTCTTCCTTTTCTATCGGAGTCAACTTATCGGTTCTCGCCGGCCTCTGTTTCGGAGTCGAGAAACCTTCGGTGTTTTTATCTTTCGCAGTTTCCTTGTCTTTCGGGGTGCTCGTTTTGCTTAGGGGTTTCACTTTGGACGCGCTTTTGACTGGAACTGATTCCATAGACTTTTCGATATCGGTGGAACTGGTGGACGGTTCGCCTCCTTTGTTTTTGTCACTAACCGGTTCATCTTTTACCTTTTCGCCCTGCTCCATAGGTTTATCTACAGAAGACGTGCTCTTCTCCTTGGGCTCCTCTTCGCTTTGGGCAACCTCACCATTCACATCATCGGTGCGCCTGCGCTTGTGGTCATCACAATATTTGATCATAGTGCCAGTGTTATCCATTATCGTGATGACCGCTTCCTCTAAGTCCGAACGGCGTCGCTTTCTCGACGTTTCGCTCTTCTGCACGGTCACATCGACTTCAATGCTTTTATTTCTGTGGAGAATAGAAGAAAGAAAAGTGATTACTTATCATTTAAACACAAGATATTGCAGGATAAAGAAGGAATATAAATGGTCGTAAACCTCTATTCAGTTTGTATAAAAGCAATTAAAGAAAATTAATGGCCTATATTCTGTCGGTTATAGAATTTGGGCAGTACTCCAAGCCCTCCAGCGGTGCCAAATTGACTATTGGTATATCGAGGTGCTAAGTTGTTTGTATAACAAGGGTACGATGTCCGTCCAAGTAAAGTCCAGTAGTATTAAACCTATCCAACTGCAGGAGGGTGTAAGACAGGGTAGTGTCATATCCCCGAAACTCTTCACCACTGTGTTGGAAGATGTTTTCAAGCTTCTGGACCGGAAAGGACGTGGTATAAACATCAATTGCGAATACATAACCTTCGATTTGCCGACGATATAGTCATCATGGCAGAATCGCTGGCGGACCTTAGTACTATGCTCAATGACCTCAACAGTGCCTCTCAACGGGTGGGCCTTAAGATGAACACGGACAAGACGAAGATCATGTCTAATGTCCATGTCACGCCTATACCGTTTTTTGTTGGGAGCACTGTGCCCGAAGTTGTTGACGAGTACGTATACCTAGGACAGTTAGTGTGGCTAGGTAAGTCCAACTTCGACGAAGAGGGCAGCGTTCGGGAAACTTCGGCAAATCTTCTTGTCCAATATACCTCAATGTTTGAAGACTAAAGTCTTCACCCAATGTGTGTTGCCAATGTGTGTTGCTAATGTGTGTTGCCAATGTGTGTTGACATACGGGACTGAGACGTGGTCCTTCACCTATGAGCCGTATGAGGAAGCTCAAAGTCGCTGAGCGAGCTATGAAGCGGGCTATGATTGGTATTTCTCTGCGTGATAGTTTCAGGCGTACACATCACTTTATCGTGTAAGCACTTAACTAATCACAGCTCCACAGATGAGCTAAATTTTATAAGGCAAACTAAGAACTATTTACTTGTCATTAATTGAATAATCGTCCTCTTCTTTGGCAATTTCTGCGCCGTCCGCCATTTTCCTAGTAGGCGTCACATGCAAGTCCTCTCCTTCGCTCATATCGCTGAAATAAAAAAAATAACATTTTTATTTACAAAAAAACAAAACCCACTTCAAAAGTCTCCCGTGCGCTATACATTTTCTATTTGATTTTGAATTCCCTAAAATATTTCCTCAAAAATGAATTCCTAAATTATCAAATCATCGCTAATTAATTCCTAAAATATTATTAAAGTCGAGGTCCAGTATCAATGAAATTAATATGGGACCACATAAGAGCCAACCTGATCCTAATATAAGAAGAATTTTTAACATCATAAATGACCAAGTTCTGAGGGAATAAACATACCATGACCTTTTCGAAGTTGATGGATAAAATGGCGATGTTTCTTTGCTTCCAAAATAAGATTTAAATATATGTCGTCGATTACGATAATTTAACAATAATTAGTAACTCAATTGATATTGTTTTAGTGGTGAGGAGTGAACACCGTAACTTAACGAGTCACGTGATCAGATTTGTTGGGAGGGTGCAACTGTTATATTTTAAATATGAGAGGGCGGCGAGTCTGGGCTCAGTATTACGGAGTAACTCAGTTCATTAGTTAGCGATACAGTTCGGACCTTCTAAACGGGAACGTTGGTTCACTTTCTAACTTTGTACTTAATGGATTATCTACATATAATACAAGATATATTCTACTGTATCTTTGTGGCTTCATTGACTGAGCCCTACGTCATGTACCCTCCACCAGAAGCTCCTAGATCGTATCGCTAATCTATCGCTATTTCCGACATATATTTTTTAAAGTTTTTTTTCTTACATACCCATCATTTACAGAAGACTTTGAACTTTTAGAGTTTGATCTGCTTTTGTCTTTGCTCGCACTCTGAGGTGTGCCTCCGGGCTTCTCTTTCACCATAGATCTCACCTCGCCTTCAAATGATGGAATCTGTGTGAAAAGGTAACTTTGTTCAACCCGTATGTTGGATCTTGTATCACAATTGCACAGTATCAGTTCAGTTGGAGAACTTTATAGATTTGGTTTGATAACTTGCCACATGCTATAAACCGTTATTACGTAAGGAGTCCGACGCAAAATACTGAAGTTGCCTGTCTATTAATATGAAAGTAATGTGCTTAAATTCCATAAAGTGAACTTATTTTTATACTTGAGATCAATAAGAACAATATCTTAATGACTTTCATTCAAATCTAACCAATGGAGGTAAATTATAAATTTATCAGTTTCTTCTACTTTGTTTTTATATTAGTAAAATGTATTCAAATAAGCTTACCATCATTTTTATTTGTTCAGAAAGTTTTGCCGGATCAAATTGTGTTTTGAACGGTGGATACACGAATTTGCCGTATTTCCTAGATATGTTGCGTATATGTTGCTCCGCTTCCTGAAAATCAATGCAAAAGATTAAACTTTCAACATTTTTATACTAATTTTGTTTACCCTTAACGTTAAGCGGTCTTAAATGGCAAGCACATACAAAATGAAAAAAATGTGTGTTCATAAATATATGTAAAAAATTGTACAAACAAAATCTTAAACTACACCGTGGTGATTTAGATAAAATTGGTAATTGCAAATAAGTAATTAAATACAAGAAATATATTATTTAAAAGTTACTGATTAGCCATAAAGACATACAGTGTTGCTAACAAACATTTGCAAGGATTTGTTAGAAAAGCATTACTATCCCAGTAAAGAGATAATTTTTTTAATTGATTATTTTTATCTCAAACACAAAGCATTAAACAGTTTCCTATTTTTTTTTTTCAATTCACAACGTTTAAATCACGGAAAAAATTTATGGCCGGGGTGTGTAAAAAAATTGTTTAAAATGCAATTCTTAATACAATAGGCTTAATTTAAGCTCTCATAGAACAGTAAAGAAACCGCCACCAGTTCAATTAATTAAACCTGAACGGAGAAGAACCAAATGGAGAAGAAAAGAAGAACTGCAGAGCTTCTTGTCGGTCCGCCAAAAAAGAGACCCTGAGGTCTGTCTTGTTATCTCTTTTTTGTTTAACAGGTTTCGTCAACTGCATAATGCGGAGTACCTGCATACTGTCCAGTATGTCCTGCCTCTTGGTCCTGAAGTTGTTGGGGTCCTTCTCGGAGTAGAGGTAGCAGTCCTTAGCCGGCACCCAGGCGCGGTCGTGGGCGCCGAAGAATCTCACGTCCACCAAGCCGCTGCTGTTGACCGACATTGCCTTGGCCGGCCAGTGCGGGAACCCTGGAAACATTTTAAAGGGATACATTATACGTCGCGTCACATGAGACAGTTAGGAACAGGAAATTGTAACAAAAAATAAATTAAATACATAAAAAATATGTCCAAAAGTCGCAGATGAGATGGCAGGTAATATTTTTGGACACTGTGTAACCCGGTGGTTTGATTTTGGATTGTTGCCAAAAGCTGTTGAGGTTATGGATGAAAAACGAAAACCATACAAAAAAGTAGTCCGCAGCACGACCTCCTTTTTCCAGTTTGTTTTTTCTTTTTTTTAACACCAACCAGCATCAGTGGTATAATAATTAATACTACAGGATTTATACCTAACGTTTTCTCGAAACCGAATTACCATTATAAAGACTGGTGCTCATTCAGTGAGTGCGTATCTCCGTTTGAAATCAAAGACAAGTAGAAACTGGGTCGCGCGACCGACATGCTCTCTGAATACAATAAGAATAAATCGCTGATGGGGCTAATAAAGTAACGGACTGTTTAATATTTTAAAATTCTCAATAACTTCCAACAGGAGTTCCTGGGTATCTTGTAAATTGACATTTGCTTTACTTTCCATATAAGTAAAGTAAAGTAATCCCCGATATATGGCCAACCGCCAGGAAAGCGTCTCCTCTGTACTCCCTCACAGGGGGTGTCCATGCGACTCCACTGAGGATTGGCAGACTTGACATATCTACGAAATATATTTTTTTGTTATTATTACGAAAAATTAATCATTCACAAGTGATGTCAGCACTTAAAATTAACAATCGCCTTCTTTCAATTTTCTGAAATCGGAAATACTAATATGGTTCCATTCTTTGTTCGAGTCCACCCTTGCTTTAGTTGGTGAAGCGCCCAGACGCTTTACCAACTATACCAAGCGGCCAATAGACGCGGAAATCTCTACATCTAAATAGATTTTTAGCAATACTAGGAGCCATCTAGTGTGCACTCTTTTTGCATTCTGCACTCAAGATGAAGTGTAAAATTCACATTTTACACTTCATCTTGAGTGCAGAGACCAGACAGTGTGCAAGTGCGAGGCGAGTCGGACTCCAAAGGTAACATTCTCTATAATAAACGGCAAAAAAAATCTTGTCTGTTATGTGGGAGCTTAAATATTTTTTAATCCTGTTTTTTAGTATTTGTTGTTATAACAGTAACAGATAATGTATATCTGTGCAAAATTTCCACTGTCTAACTATCACAGTTCATGAGATACAGCCTGGTGACACATACGGAGAGAAAGACAGACAGACAGCGGAGTCTTTCCCCGTCTATAGTTATTTTCACCCTTTGGGTACAGAACCCTAAAAATAGCCCAACAATTAGTAGTTACCTTTGAGCTTCGCCCACAGCAGGACGTGGGGCGTGGAGCACACGTCCGTGAACCAGGTGGGGCGGCGGGCGTGCGCCGCCGCGTAGCACTCGGGGCACGCCTCGATCTCGCCCATCTCAGTGCGGCACGAGCGCACCAGCGCCCTCGCGCCGCCGGTGAGCTTGGACTGCACTGCGAACGCGAAACGGTGGCCTGTCTGTGAGATTGGTGGCGGTGGACGGTGCACTCCGTAAGCTGGCGGTGTTCTGCACGACTGGGGCGGCCGTGCTGGCACCGAGAAGGCTGCGATCGCGAAACGGTTAGTGAGAGTTGTGGTGATGGATGGTGAAGCCTCGAAGTTGGCGGTGTAAGTAACACGACTAGGGCGTCTGTGCTAGCACTCGGTAGAAGGCCTGTGAAGGCTGCGATCGCGAAAGAGTAGACGAGTAGATGCGAAGAAGGTTTGTGAGAGCCCTGATAATAGACGGTGTACTTCTTAAGTAAGCGGTGTTAACTGCACGGCAATGCTGACCGTGCTAGCACCCAGGGAGCCTGCGAAGGCTGCAATCGCGAAGCAATAGACGTTTAGTGAGAGCGGTGATAATGGACGTTGTACTTTCTAAGTTGGCGGTATTTGGTTGGTAACACGGATGGGGTGGGTGTGCTAGCAGCCGAGGCGGCCTAAGGCTATAATCCGAGGTCCCGTTTTTTCCCCCTTCCCATTCGACAGAGACAGTTGCATAACACGGACCTTTTCCCGTGTACAAAGATGTGCGCTGTACGAAAGTTCGCGTGATATCAGAGAGACCACCTACACGGATACTGTTTGAGCGACAGATGGCGCTCTCGTAGCGCTGACGACGGTAACAGAAGCCGAGACGAAAGCACGAAGACGAAGAACTTTTGAGTCGGTCTTTATTGCAGCGAAGTTGGTGGGGCCACGTCTTGTATCTTGTATTAACTGATGTTTTTGCTTTCAGTCCCGAGACTATTAAAGCTTCATCTGACGCAGAACCGGTGGGCTAGCCAGAACCCACGGGTTTGGGCCCTCCGCTGTGGGTAGGGCCGCGCATGTGCTCATGCGTGCGTTTAACTACGACATGTCATCTAAGGGCCATCGAAGTTGCGGTGCGGACCGAGACCCCGATGGCCGTCGACTGTGTTTTTAGCTAATCGGTGGCTGGGAGCGGTGAGAACCGCCCTGGAACGCGGGTGTACCTTGTGTACGCGTTGTGTTGGTCTCGCCGTGCTCGGAGGCGAGGGCGAACTAGTATGTTTGTTGTTGCACTAACTGTGGGTGTAGTGTTATCCGGCGAGACCCCCGGCGGTGGGTCCGGCGTATCTAAGTCCCCTTCCTCGACCGGGTCGATGAGGACGTTTCGCGGGCGACGCTTGTTGACGTTCGCGTTTGTGTCGGGTTGGTAATTTGCTGCGCTTACCACCACAGGGTTGGGATGATGTTCGGCTCTATCGAAGAACCGTTTGGTCAGGTCTTTAAAATATTCGCGAATTGTCGGGAGTCTGCAATCGCTGTCCAGATCGACGTTGCGTTGATACCACTGCGCACCGGTTGCACGGCGGATGAACTTATTTTGTACTATTTGCAGCTTGTACAAGCGAGGTGGGGCCACGTGATATATCGGATGACATTGCAACATGTTACGCCAAGTCATACTTAAATACAAAGAGGTAAACTCGGGGACAGGGACGAGAATAACTGACACTAGAAAAGGCTACACATGCAGTCTAGCTGTGGAGACCGCGTTGGCCCTCAAACAACTCGTCCCATATCAGCGAGAGGTTGGTGATGTTTCGCTGTTACGCCAACAATAGCGTGTGGGTCGAGGTCAGAGTGATGCGGAAATACTGATCCGGAATGCTTCAAGCAAAGGAAGTTGGTGAGATGCATCATATGTTTATGATTGTACTAAATACAAAAAAGTTGTTATGACCATGCATCGCATGGCAACTTTTTTTTATTTAATTCAGAATAGTTTCCGGCTGCAGTGAGCGTCATCGTCATGGTCAAGGATCAGTTTGTATTTTTTTACCAGGTTAGAGGAAAACCGGCGAGACCTTGCGGCTGTGTCACTTCTGTTTAATTATAACATATTTTTAAAAAGCCCAGTGACGTCTATGATGAATAATTAGACATAAATATTCTAATATGGTATAACTCTATCATCATCAGCTTAATACACCCTGATTCCTAAAAAGATCCGTGTTAGACAAATAAATATATAAATCAATTCCAGAACGACTACCATAGTGGGATGAGCTGAGTTTGTGAAATACATTCATTTTTATGGGAGGTTTTTAGTGATTAACGTCAGGTGAATTGACATCTAGTAGGGATGTTTTGCAAAGCTTCAAGGGGCGGGCACTAATTACATTATATTAAATATTTTCTATTATGTACTTCATGTTTCCAATATTTTGCTTTGGTCGTAAAACGACGGAGAATGTGTATAAGTTATACTATATATTTATAAGGTTAACTGGTAGAGAATGCCTAATGGCGTCCCATTTTCCAAGACCGCCCATTGTAGCTCTTAATCCAAAGTTTAGGAATGAAGTCTAAATAAATATATAAAATAAATATAATAGGACTATGCAGCTTCTGTGGTTGCACGAAACGGCATTCGGCAAATTCGTACAAAAAAGAGGATACCTACGGAGTTTCTTTCGCCTATTCCTTCTCCGCTAGAGGAACCTCATTACGAAACGGTGGTAGATTTTAAAAAAATATGACTATCGATAGATGAAATGTAAATTTCTTATTTCGATGAATAATATTTAGATTTTGATGTGATTCGTGCGGGGAAGTACCAGGGCCACACAAACGACCGGCGTGAAGTGGAAGAATTAATAATTTCCCGTTTCGTCTGACGTCGCTCGTCAGGTGCTGTAAATGTGCGCCTTATCACTCAATTTTCATTTTTTTTAAAAAGTTCCTTTACTCACGTGTGTTGAATATAATGCTGTTATGCAGTATCCACTGCGCATCGGCTATGAACGCCTCCGTGCTACCGTAGAGGCCCTCATCGATGTTGTTCTTCATGAGTGTCAGGTCCATCGGATGCACCACGTATCTGTCATAATCGGGGAACGCTGTTCTATCCACGGGGTGCATGAAAGGCTCCACCTAATTACAAATGAAACATTTTTTCTTAACAAAATACAACAGACTTCAAATATCTCAATGACTTATAATTTTGATTTTGAGGAGTTTCCTGATGGATCTCCGGAGTCCAAGGTCATATACCAGATGAAATTGCATGCAAATAGAGTTATTAAAATCGGTTCACAAACGACGAAGTTCTGTAGTTATAAAATATTAAATAAAGAAATCCGAATTTAGGACCTCCGCCTTTTTTTAAGTCGGTTGAAAAGTTACGTTCCACAGGCTAAAAATTAAGTTTTACACAGCTGATAGTAAAAAAAATTAATTACGAGTAGTACAACCCAAATCAAATTTGAATTAAAGTGTGTCGTGTAAAGACACTATTAATTTTTATAAACAACTTTTAATACATGTATGAGTAGTGGGTGTGTGGATGACACTGTAAACACTAACATGATTCATTTTTGCATTTCACTAAATTATTCATTTTAGCTTGTTTTAATCTACGGCTGGATATAGGACCCCCCAAGAGGATATAGGATCCCCCAAAGCCACCTGTATTCATCGACTTAGACTTCCCACACACCTACACAGGTCGCCACCGCCCCACTGCGATGGCCAATACAAGGCTGGCATTCGAAAACCTTTCTTCCTCATATAACTGGAGCAAATACTTTTGCATGCATGCTTGTTTTTTTTTTTTGTGTGCTGTGAATACTTTAGTGACCACGATCAATTAATAAATACGACACGTTTTTTATGACCTAATCTTTTATTATCTGTATCAGAGTTGACAAGATAATAATGTGTAAATTGAAATTATGTAACAAGACGAGACAACCAAGAATATGCCAAACTATTGTGGGAAGCACATCGTATTTCCTATAAAATCGTACTTAAGATATTTGGATCCTAGAAAATGGTATACTACTTAATTGATATATGGAAACTGTTATTAAAACGTATCCACAGCCCAAAAATTGATTCTATAAAAGTCTATAAAAACTGGTATGGCACAATGCAAAAAAATTAAGTCTCCAGAGATATTTATTCGATATCTTAAGCTATAAGTACCTGTTTGAATGGGTACCTAGTCCCTGTCAACAATCGTTAAAAACACGTTTTGAAAGTACAAAACAAGTAAGAATCATTGTCAATAAGAAAAAAAAACTAAAGTTATATCGTGCAAGCTATTTAATCTTTTGTTACTTATACAAAAATTAGCAACCAAAACAAAACTTCTGAATGTAATGTCACATCTTGATAATCATGGTGGCATTTTTAATTGTTGTTTGTTACATAACATTCAAACATGCTACCATGGTTTTCGTTATATGTATTAAATAAAAACTCAACGAAAACGAAAGACTTTCGTCTGTTGCTGGTTGGTAATTTTAAAAAATCGAACAAAATAGGTAAACTCCGAAGGAATTCGCTGAAAATGATATCGAAGAGAAACTTCATTTCGATTAATTATTAATGATAGTATAAAAACGACGGTTTGGGATATAATTATTCAGGCGGAGGTCGGATCGTTCCAATCCAAGATGTCCGCTAATAGAAACAGAAAGGTATGCCGACGAAACGTATTCGAGAAATACGCAACACAAAAGCGAAACACAAGCGCAGTACACGAAGCATTTATTATTAGTATAGACAGAGACGGAGAGTAGAAGCCAGCGTATCGATTGCGCGGCGCTAGAGGGAGAAGTACGTCGTCGTCACACATCGGGGATTGCGCTACGTAGATAAAGTAGCAAGGTCATTTCACCGAGAACCACCCGCGACCTGCGATCGCATTGCTGTACGCCAATACAGCATTATTTTGTAAGGGGAAATCGGAGGAAATATATGATACTACTAACTATTCAACACATATATTTAAAATATGCCAAAATATTACGGTCTCGTCCATAGGTAGTAATTTTTGTCGCGATAATTATACTACTTATTAATAGGGCAATGCATAAAAATACTCATTCGTAAATGCTCCACGTTCTTTGTACGTAAATTAAATAATAGGTGCACAAGTTCAATATAACAAGATATCCAATCAGACCTCGAGACACACGTCAAAAATTAGGTTATTACTGCTCAACTTAATTCATATATTATAGTTTACGTCATGAGCATTTGTTAACAACATAAAAACAATATAGTATAAAAAAATATCGGTCAAACTTCATGGAAATTAGTTTTAATTTCAACCATCTGAAATATTGAACTTTGGAACATTACTGTTTCCATAGTTAAGCTATAGCTAAAAACATAATTTTTGGCATCTGGTGAATGTGGAAGTTTTTAATAAGAATAATACAACTCATTACCCCATTAAGATCCATCATCCGCTCCAATGCATGTTTCAGTAATTCACAGAGCACCCCAAGGGATATCTTTTTCATTGCTGGAGACCTGAAAAGAAAGAAAAGAATTATATGAACAATCTTGAATCATAATTTAGGTTATATATAAAACACTTAGTATAGGTAAAAAATAATATTATAAAATATTTTCATCTAAAATAAATTACATAAGCAAATAAATAATCTACTTAATCTGATCATGTATCACATGAAGAGTATGGTCATGTTTAGCTTAGTAAATTCATATTATAAACTGACTTAAGGAATATAAGAACATGTTCAATTATTTTCCTGTTTAAAACATGATTACAAATTATATATTTTAAACGTTAACATACCTAGTTTCTGAACTTTCAGCATGCAACACAGACAAGCATTCAGGGCAAACCCAATTTTTGTCAGTTGTTATTTTGTTACGCTCTGTACCAGACAGACATTTAAAGTGAAATGACCGAGGGCAAACTGTGCATAGCATAGGGTGATGCATTTTTTCATTAGGAACTTGCTCCACTGCCCAGTGACAGCGCCAACAATATGGATCAGACCGCAGTTTGTTTGTTTTCTCTGATGCCTATAAAGTAAAAAGAAATATATAAATTGATGTTAATTAGTATGATAAGCAAATATAGTAAGTAAACAATAAACATTTATCTCAAATATTTTTACCAAATAAAACTGAAGTTATTAATAATGAATTACATTAACTAAATAAAAAGACTAACAATAATAAATTTTGGGGAACTCGGGGAAAAAATTGAGTAAAAAAGTAAGCTTACAGGCTCTTCAAGCATTTTTTTCTTTTTAGGTGTGCTTGTTGTGGATTCATTGTGGCAGTCTTTATGCTTAATCTCCTCAATGTCCTCATCTGACATAAGGCTTTCAGTTTCAGGCTTGGGAACTTTACCTGTTACAGAGTTTAAAAACTGTTTAACTTTATTCACAAATTCTGGATTCTGTGACCGCATTGACCTTTTAATGACAGTTTTATCTGATTTCTCACTACAATTACTTTTTTGCGAATTATTGCTATTACGTCGATTGCCTTGTATCTTATCAGCTTCAACCAAAGAAGTCAAACTCGTATTTGCATTATCAAATGCTGTTCTAGATTTCCTTGTTTTGCTGGTAAGCTGTGTACATTCACTTATTATTTTAGATTCTTTGGCAGAATTAATAAGAGATTTCAATTCCCTACTGATGCTTTTATTTTGATCTTTCTCTGACGACTCAGAATTTATCTCTGCTTGTGAATCATTGGATGCATCTATGGCATCCAACGAAACTATACTTTCATCCAATTTACTTAGTGACTCACTAAGTACTGATTTGCTAGAGTCCTCCTTTTTATCCCCAGTTGGAACATCACTAATTGGTTCCTTGAGTTCAATAGGTGTGGGGTCACATTGCTCCATCTGAATGGAACTATCTTTAGTTGCATATTGATGATCATCGGCATTCTTCTCTAATTGATTTGCCTTTTCAGAAAACTCCATGTCTTTATTCTTTAGCATATTGGTGTCTTTACTAGAAGAATCTGGTATTTCTTGCACAGGCTGCACTTGAACAGGAGACAATGCTGCTTTAGGAGGTATGTCAGATAAAGCTAATGGTAATTGCTCTGATTGTTTTGGAGATTTGTTTAAACATTCTCTTTGTGTAATGTCCTGATTTTCCAGCAATATCTCTGCTCCATCAATTGTTGTCAGTAAGTTACCATCTTGAGGTTGCAGTAATAACTTTTCATTTTGAGATGAATCTTCAGAACCTTGAACTGACTGAATACTTATATCAGAGACAACTTTATCTTCATTTAATTGCTCCTGTTCATTTGGTAAAGTATTCTCTTCTTGAACCTTTTCCACTAGTATCACCATTTCCACATTACCGCTAGATCCAGTAATTTCCTGCATTTCTGGTACGTCTACCGTAGTAGACGATACATCCGTCTCCATCTGGGCCTCAGAGCTGTCGTCCATCATCTGTGATAAAGATACAATTGCTTGGTATTTTTAACTTGACCTTTATAAAAATCATATATACCATATTTATGTTTCATACACTAACTTTGAATGAAATCTTAACAATAAGTGCCTAAATATTGAACACCGGTCATTACCCAAGCTCAGCCATCCAGCCAGTAATCTACCTACTTTCAATACAATCATACAAATACAACATACAGGAACTCACCCAGACGTCCCGTCTCGTAACTACTTATTAAACGGTAAATACACAGTCCACTGAGATAGCTGTTACCTTATATTATTAATATTTTATAAGAAATCATTTATGTCACACATATAATTCTAAATCTTAAAGTTGAAAAACATGAAAACGTACGAAGGAATTAACACATTGCCGAAGCACAACTGTTCTATTCTATTCTATGTATGCATGTCGCTATCGCACTCATATATCGTTCTTCATTACTTGATTGGTTGAAGGGATTTGAAGACGGAGCTTTTACTATATTACATCTCACTTATGTCTATGAGCATCTCTTTTTAGATTGTGCAAAATGTAAATGTAGCTATCTCGTTGAGTTCGAAATGTTTGTGAGATTTTGACTATCATCTCTTTCTATTGTAAATGATTGTTAGGTATGAAGTTCGTGCAAGAACTTTATTTTGTTGAAAAATGTGAAAGTCAAAAATGTTTTTTTATGAAAACAATATACGGTAATCTAACTAATTAAAAAATTAAAGTATATAAGGAAACTACAAGTAAAAAATTAGTTTTCTGTAAGTAATACTTTATAATTATTTATACTGCTCAAAATAGTTTTTAAAGTATTTACTACATTTTTAGGCTATTGCCAATATTAATGTATTTTATTGCGTTCTTCTGTTTTTAAGATATCAAACAAAACTTCGTGATATAAAGTGATTTTAATATGTTGCCGGTTATGTAGTGTTGCTCTCTGATTACAAAGTTTTTTAAATTTTTATGTGTGCAACATTACTGAGAGAGAATTGTCAAATAAAAGTCGAATCTGCTAAAATATTTCCATGAAATGAAGTTAATCTAGATTTTTTAGTTTTAAAAAACTAACCGATGGAATTTATTGAGCTTATTTTAATTAATAAACTGGATGGAGTAATATTAAAATATCCACATCATGATAACGTCGATGGTACCGTATGCATTACAGGCCATCATTTAATTTTAAGTTCAAGAAAAGAAGGCGTTCGAGAATTATGGGTATAATTTTAATAATAATATAATTCGTCTTGTAATTTATATGTATTCAATTTCCTTATTTAAATTTCCCTACAAAAATAATTTTAATTTTACAACTGTATAAACCATATTATTTCACTACTTTTCAAAAATGTTAAAAATCTAATTAAAACCAATTTATGGATCATCAAATAAATTTTGGTCTACAATGTTTTTGTTCTAATGTCTCTTCCCTTAATGAATTAAAAATATAATAAATTTTTTACTACTCTTGCTATGATTTGTTTTTCAAATATGTTATTACTATAATTTTAAAATTGCACTATAATTGTTTTTTTATATTTCTAGCTTTTTATGACAAAAAGTCTAAGTTTTTCCAATTAAATTTCAGCTGTTGCATAAAAATATAGACTGTATTGAAAAAAAGGAAAATAAACCAATAAATGGAGTGTCACAAGGAGGATCCTTATTTCTGAAATGCAAGGATTTAAGAATATTCCAATTAGATATAGGTACTACATCAGAATTGAATCTAGTTGCACAGACATTGGAAAACTTGTCCGGATTACAGGATCCTAGTTTGTTCTACCCTTTCTTTTACAGGCATATGCATCCTATTGTTGAAAATGGCCACACCTTATATAGGTAATTGATTTTTATATCATTTGTTATTTTTGCCATTTATTATTTTGTGTGCAAATGTATAATGATGGCCTGATGTTGATGTAAATGTTGAACATAGACTATGTTTACTTTACTAATCAGCTTATGTGAAAACAAATTGAGTAAATAGTGGAGTTGTGGATTATTTGATAAATCTGTGAAACTTTCCTACTTCCCCCATAGAGTAGACAGTTATTTATATTTAATTCAAGCACTATGTTATCTCGCATTGGTACATACTATGGCAACACTTTCTTAGCAGTAGCAAACTTAAAATGTACTCTACATGAAAATGATATTGTGATATGTATAAAGTATATCTATAAGATTTTATAAAATATATATATTGTTCCTAAAGATACAGAAACTTACTCCAGAGTCAACTCTCCTTTTTTGCCTACTCATAAAACTGGGAATACAATTATTACAATATAATTATACTATATTATTAATTATGATAAACCTTATGTTACATTATAAATAAAAGTCTTAAAAATTATATCTAGTAAAAGGCTATAAGCAAACTTAAATAACTTTCACATGATAAACTCATACAAAATCTATACTAGAACAATGAAACTAAAACTAAAAACCTTAAAAGAAAAATAAAAATAAAAAAAATTATGCAATACAATAATTCAAAAAATAAAGAAAAAGTCTGTGGTTGGTTTCAGTATTGAAGGTGAATTTACAAAAGTATTAGCAACAGAAGAGTGGAGGGTGTCACGAGTTAACCAAAATTACACAGTATGCCCAAGTTATGCAAAGGCTGTAGTGGTACCAAAGAGTATTGATGATGAGACCTTGGCCGCGGCTGCCTCGTTCCGACAAGGAGGACGATTTCCTGTTCTTTCCTATAGACATAATAACAGTGTAGGTATTCATTATCTAATTAATATAAATTTAGGTAATATTTGCTAACTATGGTATGCCATTGTAAGATTTCAGTTCATTCTAAGTTTTGTTTCTTAGATATTATCTTAATAAAAATGATTATCGTGATGTCTTCATTTTGTGGAAATTTATTAGTTTTAAATAACAAGGACTTTACGAACTACAAAATGTGTGTTCAGGTATTTTGAGTTCTTGCCGTGGGAAGATGCATGGAGAATTTTCAATCTTTTTTATGTAGTTTCTTCTGCACATAAAATACAACAACACTGACGAAATTTCGGTTATCGCCTAGTTGATTGTATTATTTCTGTATGCTTTAAAATCTTAGTTATCTCATCCTCTTGAAAGTGCAACAAAAGAGAAGTGCTGCAAATTTTATTACATTTTTTATTATTTTTAAAACCATTATCCCTACTGTATGATAATACAGTATATACAGTAATAGCCTTGTGTTTGTAGTGGCGTCTATATAATATTTTCAAGAAGTATTTTTTAACAGGTTGGGTAGTAATGCCCAACTACCACTGCAACCTACAAAAATCTATTGTAGTTTTCCCTTTAAAAACATTGCCCCCTTATTCTAGGATTACATTATTCTTTGTTGTTTTACATACATAAATTTCACGTGGACAAACTCCCAGATACGAAACAATTATCTGTGGGTCACATAATTACTTATGTCGTGTGGGAATCGAACCCACGACCCACGACTTGATAACTGCGCCTCGAAGTCGTTATCAAGGTAAGGATTAAGGCCGAATACAAAAAGTCTAACTTAGCACCTGCCCTTTCACACATTACTACCATAATGCTGTATAAGAGAACAAGCAGGTGAAGGAAGTAGTCGGCAGTAAATGTTGCATTGACCTTTGGAAAAACAAGATCGGCTTATTTCGGTTTCGTAGAGCGTTATCTCTGTCGTGGCCATACATCCATAACTCTTTTTGTTACTAAATAAAGTATTTGTGTCGCTAATAGCGTAACAACATGTTACAGGCAGCTGTCCTCCTACGCGCCGGTCAACCCTTATATGGATCGAAACACAGGAGATGTCGACCGGACGAGGCGATATTGAATTCCGTCGTAAACGTTGGAATGAAGGGCGTCATCTACGACCTGCGCAGTTCCAGCGCTATCTCGCAACAGCAGAACAAAGGTGATGAAGAAAACGTACGAGGAAAATGATAATAATGATAAGGAGTAATATGTGAGAACAACTTAGTTAAAATTTTGCAATGTTTACGGATTCCTATTTCATACATCCTAACCATGCCATGAGCTCATTGTCCGGGCGCTCGCTTCAAGTTCAATATACTCGAGCAACCTGAGTTCAATCCCCAGTGCCAGCACCAATGAGATTGTTATTTTTAAGTGCTTGCTTTTCACGTGCTCAGCGGTGAAGGAAAACGTCGTGAGGTCAGCTATGATGAGGGAACAGGATCTCCAAATATAAGATAACCCACTGTCTTTGGTGGTTTGGAGTGCTCAGGTTTCTGCAGGCAATAAGGGCCTATGCACCAATTGCAAGCGAATCAATTGGAAATGGTACTCTATCATGTTATAAACAAAAGTGATAATGTTACAGGTGGTGGATCTGAGAGTCCTGCAAATTATTCTCAATGGAAGATTTACAACAGGTCGATGGACGACGTGGACAATCAACAGCAGCTGTTGGAGAGCTTCTCCAAACTAATCGAAGGTACGGTCAATTTAGTCGAAGCCACGATTGCCTAGTATGTCCAAATACCCCAGTTCTATTAAGTAAATTACTTGTAAAGCCGTATATTGATCTCTTTAGATTTAATCCATTTGTTCTAAAGAATTATGGTGATGGGTCATAATTGGATGTGTCCTGAAATATTAAAAAAAAGTTGCTTGAATCAATTTTTAATTTAAAAGTATATTGTATATTTCGGAAATGGCAACACACTGGATTAGGAATTAATTCACATATTGATTTTACGCGAATGTTATACATATTTAATGAAACTAGTTTACGGATTTTATCGCGTTTTAATTTAAATTTTTTAGACAATTGTTTTTGAACAATTGACGGTAGCCCGCCTTAATTTTGACGACGAACGCTGGGAAAGGTTTCGAAACTACAGGAATTAAAAATCAAAATTAAAACGCTTTATTAAAATTAGTTTCTTTTAGGGATTAATTTTTCGTGTTTCGCCAACTTATATAAATATCTATTTATCTATGGGTCTTTTATTTAAATAATTAACTTTGAATTAATTAAATGCTTTGACTTCCAGCGTGTGTTGACCGCGACATATCGAGCGACAAGTGGATCTCGAAACTGGAGGCGTGCGGATGGCCGGAGTCAGTGAGGAACTCTTTACACACGGCCTGCATCGTGGCACAGCACTTGCATCAGGTATTCATTTTCCACATACTACATACATATATATATACACATGCATACATAAAAAAAAAAATAATAAAAAAAAATATATATACATATGTTTGTGGTGTTCGCCTGTAAATGTTCATTAAATATGTAAGTAAATATGATTTAAGCTTATTTTTAATGTTTAATAAAGATATGTAAATGTACGTTGGTGAACCTCTTGAATAAATAAATAAATAAATATGCTACACATCCTATATCCTGGGTTGACTGGTAGAATGCCTTTGGGCATTAAGTCCGCCCTTTGTTACCTTGTTTTACTGAAGGTTGGCAATAAAGATTAAATAAAATAAATAAAATACACATATATATGATGTTTATTAGCGCGTCGAGCTCAGTATACGGGTGCTCGCTTTTAATTTAATATAATCGAGCGACCTAAGTACAAATAGCAGGCACTAATGAATTTGTTAGTTGCAAATTAAAGCGCTGGCTTATCACATGCTCAGTGGTGAAGGGAAAGTCGCAAGGAAACCTACACTAATACTACAAATAATAAAAAAGAGAGAAATATTTTGAAAATATGCAAAGTGTACCAATCCGCAGTGGGTTTGCGTGGTAGACTATGCCCTAATACCCTCTGTACAGATGAAGCCTTTGCCAAGCAGTGGGACATTTATAAGCTGTTACTTTACTTTCTCTAACTTTTAATTTAAGATCAAAAATAAAAAAAAATCATTTGCTACGTATTATTGAGCGCGGAGAATTTTAATAAGAATGTAATTCGGTCAAGCAACTGCTTCTAACAAAATTTCAAAATTTTCAAAACTTCGGCAATTTAAAACAAAATATAAATCTATACTGTTACTTTACTCTACTGTATTATTACTCTTAGTTTATGGCTGCTTTAGAAAAAGACCTCGTTAAATGTTTTTACCATTTTTATCCACCAACCCATTGACTGTAGTCCCAAATAAAATATTTCATTAAAGAAGGAAATGTAAAACCAGGACAGTTTCATTTGAACAATCCATTATGCCTTTGCTTTCAACATATGTGATATGAATAGAATATAATAGAATATACTTTATAGCACACAAGGGAAATACAAAGAAAGGAAATACACGAAACATAGTGTTCATACAGGCGGCCTTATTGTATTTGAAATCGCTTCCATAATAATTTTTGTGCATTTAGCATAAATAATTTTTGTGCATTCTGCAGAAATAATTTTTGTGTATTCCGCAGAAAGCGGAGCCGGTTCTAATTCACGGGACCCGGGGTGAGGACGCCACGCTGTTGATCTGCTCCTTGGTGCAGATAATACTCAACCCCGACTGTAGGACTATAAGGGGGTAAGGGATAAATATAGTTTTGACATATAACATTGTAGCACTCCCTTTCATTCAAAAACGCTATCTGACTCGTTCCCACTACAACTTGGTGTACAATTTTGTTTCGGTTTTCGAAATCGTATTTAAGTTTTGCGTTTATTGTAATTTGTGTATGTACAACACCTCTAGACATAGAGTAGGGGTTTAAAAAAAATCTTCGCCTCGTAAGCGAAACTAAAACAATATGTGTAAAAGGTTCATTCGTATACGTATTGTTTTGGTCGTGCCGCTAGCCAATGATCAACACAGTCAACAGCCTTCAGGGATGTTATAATAACAATTATAATGTGAATATAAGCCCTACCTAACGCCTATTCTTTTTTGCATACCATAATGTAGCTTAAGTGGTAAAAGTTAAAATTAGGGAATAGCGATGGTAAACAATGTTAAGCACAAACATGTTTCATTTCTACTTACAAATATGCGTGCAAATTCAATAAAACTTTAATGCTTTATTTAAGTTTGCGGACTGAAATAAAAAACATCAAAGTAAAATAAGGTACATCGGTTCACAATTGGTTTCGTTTGTGATGTTACCCCCCCTCACCTTACTCTTCATCAGGTTGCAGGCGCTGGTGGAGCGCGAGTGGCTGCAGGCTGGCCACCCGTTCGGCACGCGGCTGAGGGGCGGCGCGCACTGCGGCCCCGCCCCGCCCCGCGCCGCCCCCACCTTCCCCCTGTTCCTCGACTGCGTGCGCCAGTTCCTCGAGCAGTTCCCCTGCAGCTTCGAGTACAGGCAGTCGTTCCTCGTCACGCTGTTCGAGCACGCGTACGCCAGCCAGTTCGGTGCGTGGCGCTTATTGTTTGAAAGACCCCTCAGTCCAGTTCGAAGCGTGGTACTTTTTATCTCTCTTAAGGCCTCGTTCTAATGCTTATTGTTTCTCGATAGACCTCAGTCCAGTTCGAAGCGCTGGTACTTTTTATCTCTCTTAAGGCCTCGTTCTAATAGGCAAACGGGGAGTCCTAAGAACAGAACTCGAACTTCTCAAGTAATATTTTATTAATTACCTCAGCTTATGGATTAGCGGCTGCATAGAATAATTATCCTATTTTATGGGTAAAGTAACGATTACACAAAGGTGTATTTCGTAAATATTTTTTTTTTTTAAATAACCAATCTTCCAATCACCATCACCAATCCAAAATTATTCTAAATTCCAAAATGAAGATTGATTCATTCTATTGAAATATGTATACTATCATTGTTTATTGTATATTTTTGGAATGGATTTTAATGAAACTTTACAATAATATAGATTACACATCCGAATAAGACATAGGCTATAATTTATATACATATTTTATGTAAATCTGTCTTTCTGTCTGAGTGTTACGCCTTCAGCCTATTCTACTTAGACGTAGTCGCGGGCAGCAGCTAGTTTATATATGGTTGACAACCGTACCGGTAAATCCACTCACCAGATGAAATGTGAAAGTAACACTTTAAACTGGTTTTCCCTGGGGCCGTGCTACTTCCTCTAGCGACCAACTCCGCAACAGCATTAACAGCTATACGGCATCACCTCGGCGCAACCTCATGTTTACGTGAATATCACATTAGGACGGAAAACAACTCCGTCTTGTCACCGTCAACTCTGTGAAATGTTCAAAGCATCGGTGATAAGAACCAAAATTATACGCGATAAAACCGGTGATTTATTTAACGATGTAATATGTTCAACTTTCTTATGATTCCTTGCCAACGAAACAACTAACCAACTTACTGAACTTAATACCTGAGAAAAGGGAGTTGTTTGGTCCAAAAAGTAAACGAATATTAGAGTATAGGTTACCTATATTTAACGTTGTAAATATAGGTAACCTATACTCTAATATTCGTTTACTTTTTGGACAGAGCTACGCAGCAAATTGCTGGGTTAATTAATCATATTAATCTGTTCTTAATTCAAGAAGAAATCAAACTCCTTTATAATACTTAATTTATTATATGCTTTTCTTCATTCAATAAAAAACGGCAAAGTGCAAGTCGGACTCCGCGCACGAAGAACTCCGTACAATTATCTATAAAGGGTAAAAAATCATATCTGTTGTATGGGAGCCCCACTCAAATATTTTTACTCTGTTTTGTATTATTTTTTATAGCGGCAACAGAAGTACATCATCTGTGAAAATTTCAACTCTCTAACTATCACGGTTCACACATGAGATACATCCTGGTGACAGAAGGACAGAGAGACAGACAGAGAGCGGAACCTTGGTAATAGGGTACCGTTTTACCCTGTGGGCACGGAACCCTAAAAAGGATTCGAACCCTGTCGAACTGTGGAATGAACCGACGGTCCCCTAATGTTCATCGATGTCGGGCGCCTCCAGGTACGTTCCTGTGCGACAGCGAGCAGGAGAGGGCGACGCGGGGCGTGTTTGAGCAGACCACCAGCGTGTGGTCGTGGCTGAACCAGCCCGAGGAGCTGAGCTCGTACATCAACCCGCTATACGAGCCCACGCCCAACGTGATCTGGCCCTCTGTAGCGCCGATGAGCTTCGTGCTGTGGGAAGGTGAGGATAGTATTGCGTTATTTTGTGGGGTTGGGCACAAAGTCCCGACAACCACTACGACCTGTAAGTAGTACACGTAATATCTGTGCACCTACCTCACTTTCTCTACGCCACCCTAAAGTTAACTGGTAGAGAATGCCGTTGGCATTAAGTCCACCTTTGTACTAATGTGTGCATAAATATTAAATAAATATATAATGATCTACTGTAGTCTCACTTTCGAAAACATGCCCTTAAGGAAATTAAAGTAACCTATACATGTGTCACGGCTGGATAAATGTCTCCTCTGCAAAGATGGTATTCGGGTATAATCGTTGACGCAACCCCACTGCGGATTGACGAACTTCACATATTTTCGTAATATTCTTTGGTTTGTTATTATTTCGAAAATATTCGTGACATATACCGACCTACGAAGCCGATAATAGCCTTTTGTCTCTTTTCACTAGTCTTTCTTTTTGTGTTTAAAGATGAAAATACATGTATCATCTTTCAGAATTATACCTGCGCTGGCTGATTAAGCAGGGCACAGAAGAGAGGGAGGAGCAGTACAGGGCGATACGCAGCCGCGAGCAACAGCTACGGACGCAGGCGCAGCAGATGCGGCGCGAATTGTTCGACCTCGCGCAGCAGTATTACAATGCGGACAGGAAAGGCAGCGTCGACCACTAGACGGAACGAGTCCGGTACTGAACGCGCAATGTACGTCGAACAACGCGACGCCTTCGTTTGCGCCCGCGAACGGGATAAGTACGTGGTAAAGGCTCGCGTGAATGGATTAAGCTGACGCGCAATGGATTGCTCATCGATGCTTGCTTTTGCGTTTTCGTCAGTTTGAGAATTTAATGGAAGATTTAAATATCGGCCCGATGAAGTAAGCGAATGTAATCATTATCTTTGTATTTCTCTTTATAATGGAAGTACAAAAAAATCGATATTTTAAAAATAATGACAGAATAATTCTGGGAGATTTCGTATTTTATGGGTCTGTATAAGCTGCGCTTATCTGTGGCGCTTTCAGTTTGCTACTCGGTGATGTTGAAAAGTGGAAAATTTACTGCCAGTGCCCCTTGTGGAACAAACTATATAAAAATATTATTATCCTATATAAGAAAGACAAGATAACAGAGAACTTTTACTTATAAATAGTACTTATACAATGGATTAATACATTGATGTTTACATCAATTTTTAAAAATTTCTTGTATTTACGCAATATAAATAAAACTAATTTTTAATGGATTAAAATTTAATTAAAAATAAACGTGATAAATTCGTAAAAATTAGTTTCATTTAAATTAAAAATGACAAATATTGATGATATGTAGCATAATAACACCTGCCTAATCTTAACTTTGGTATTAACTCTCTTTATATCGATTTTATTTAGGATTACATTTCAAAGCTTTTAATATTAACACTATTGCCTAGCTTGTATATTAACTGCGCTTATTTATTTTACATATTTTTCCACATTTTCATCTCAATCTGGCTCAGCGTTTTCTTCCTGAATCAATCTCTATGGAACCAGTCACTATGTAATCCAGAACTCTATAGAAATCTTATTGATTGGAATTGTGTTTAATGCCTAACACTTGTTTTCTGTCATATTTATATTTTCACTGATTTTCCTCGTTATTTCACTAAATTTACTTAATAATAATCTCCAAAATTGTTTTGCTTGAATGTGTGAAAAATTGTTAATCTATAATCATTTTCTTGTGACATAAAAATCATTTAAAAAACTTACAACACAGGATGTAAAATATGCAATATATTATTAAGCGGCCTATAAATGAAACAAAGATAGTGTTTTAAATATGATATTTTTTTTTATATTTATCATTTTTGATGAGATGATTAAATTTCCAGATTTAAACTTTATTCTATATGATTATTTAGATAATATTTATCATTATTCTTTTGATTAAATTTGATTTGATTTAAACTTTATTCTATATGATTATTTAGATAAAATTTATCTTTATTCTACACACACATGAATTATAAAACTTAATCATATACATAAAAATAGTTAAAGACTAAATCTCTTTGTACCTTTTACTTCTCTCTTTTTCATATTATTTTCAGTTTTTTATTTATAAGTGATTGATGAACAATGTATGAAACAATTATCTTCTTATATTATGGAACTCATTTTTTTGTATTGTAAGTACTTATAAAAGTGTGTGGTCTTAGGTCTACAGTAAAAGAATAATTTGAAAATGTATGTTTGAATAATGAGAATTGATTTATGTTTTTATCAAATATTAAACAAAAATTATGATCAAATTATGATAACTTACACTAGTAAACTTTAATTCATGTGAAATAAAACAAACGAAATATAAGAAAATATTTCAATAGCATATACAGCGTGTCATTACAACCGCGACTTGCCAATAAGCATAAAAAAATATAAAACGTTAAAAAATCCATAATTAAAAAAAGTATACTTTTCCAACAAACTAATTAAATAAAAAGAAACAAAATTTGTAATACCTATACAACTACGACTGACTTTTTTCATTCGTTGCCGCAGCGTCGCGTTACAAATTTCTCCTTCTAACAGTATGTTTTATCCCTTTCAAATTCATTTAACCCATTCATATGCTTTGTGACCTTTACAAATGAACCTTACGTTACAGTTTTATACGTAAGGGTGTTCTAAAATTGTTTTTTATTTATCTAAAATTGTTTATATTGATGTTTAAGGAATGTAAATGCGAAAAAAGAGACTATAATAATAAGACTACTACACATTTTAATACCAAAAATCCAAACAAATGCTTAATATTTTTTTTATTAGTGATTGAAGACCACACACTAACTAAAGTGCTATAGCTTTACTACAGTGAACCTAAAAAAATCAAAATGCTCTTATGAACTTTATAATTATATCGTATTTGAATTTCCTTCGACAGTAACAAACCTAGTTATACTGTGATACCCCAACAGGGAAATCAATTTCATTGCAAAAAGTAAAACTGGCAGTCATTGCCCCATGACAATTTCTTTAGCAACCAGACTAATTGATTTGTTCTTATTGTTTTATTTTATCATCATTTTTACCTTTTTTTTTCCTCTGAAAAGTAGTCGTTTTTACATTATTATATAAGCTTATTGTTTTATTTTTTGTTTCTATTACTGTATGTCATCAAGTAATTGTTTAGAAACATAATTAGGTCGTAATGTGTAGTATTTATTATGTTTTAGTGCGTCAAGGAAACACATTCATCAACTGTTATAGCAAGTTTTTCTTACCAGTCAATTTTTGAATATAGGCATGAGTAAGCGAGGCTATTTGGATAAAACTCCATATTGCTCTCTTTTAATATGTTGCAAATAATATGTAAAACCTATACAATAACGTTAAACTTTTGAAATTATTTATTCTTATCAACAATAAAATTACGCTTAAAATGTCTCTTTATTTCAATAGTCTCGCGAATCACTTGGAAGGAATCTGAGCAGCGATTCTCGTAATTTACCCTTACATTTTCATAAAGTCCTTAGAAATAATCTCATCTCAAGAATCTTTAAAGTTTTGAGCGTCTGTATATATGGCGTGCCGCAAGCGGTGCTAATTTCTTTTTTCTTTATGAATTAAACATTCCAGAATTCGCTTTCAATCATATTATTTTCTTAAAATGTTTATAACTTAGAAAATGAATATATATATGTTTACTTATTTTTCGACAGCTGTAATGGATTGGCCTATGCATATTAATTATAAATAATTATAATTTAAGTCATGTATTATATGAATTGTTTATTGAATTGTAGATTTAAGAATAATTCGTTTATGTGTACTACATTCATCTATCATGTAATCTATAGAGCATATATAAGTCAATTTAAATTATTTGTTGTCAATTAAAAATTTTTGCACGTATTCTGTTGGTTTGATTTCATTCCAATTTTAACAATAACCGAAGTTTAAATTTTTATAGTGCTAATCTGTGCACTTAAGATGAAACATTAAAATTTGTAGAAAAAGGACGAAAAGTATCTCACCCCTGCGGGAATTGAACCCAGGTCTTGCGTATTTGCACTCAGACCAGGCCATGCCTATTATCAGCTGTTAAGGTGGTGATGAACTAATTTTACGAATCTGTAGATCTATTCCGAAAACGGCCGAATATTGCTGGTGAATATTTCGAATCGCGATTACCTTGTCGGTTTATTAAGTGACATAAATATTTCAGTACTGGAAATGTTTCAGAGTATCGTTTGGTCGAAACGATGAAAGCCTTGATGTGTTTTCGTTGTTCTATATCTACAGAATTCGTGGAATAGATAAAAGACGTTGATATTATCGTCGATGTGAAAACCGGTCGTTTAGGTAACGGCCCGTTTCAGTATTCTATCTACAGATAGATTTTGTTACTAGCGATAGGTATTTGACATAAGCTCCATAGCACACGTCAAAATGCTATCTCTAGCAACCAAATCTATCTGTAGATAGAATATTGAAACAGGTCGTAATCTAGGCGTGAATCCGAAAGTCTATGGTGGTCTATACCAGATAATACTTCGATATCATCGTGATACATGAGGTTACCGATAAAAATCAGAACTAAGCATACATAAATAAGATGGTTCGTCATCACGTGAACAACCTATCACGTTGACTGACTGATTGCCCGAGATTTTTTTTTATATGACAAAGTAGCAAACGAGCTGGCGGTTCACCTGATGTTAAGTCACAACCGCCGCCCGTGGACATTTGCAACATTGCAGAAGCATTGCACCCTTAAATAAAGTGGGCCCCAGCTACCTCACTCACCAGACGAAATGCAGAAGTGTAACACTTTTACTGTACGCCGGTCTTCTATGAGGTCGTGGTACCAACCCGAACGGACCTGCCCATTCGTGCAACAGCGAACACCGTTGGGTGGCCCTACCACAGTCAACAAGATCACAAAGCACTGTTCTTAGCCACATACTAAAATTTCTCCCTCGCTTCTGTATGATGGTTTTCACTCCGTTACATAGACAGCGTCTGTCTACGTTGTTTCTCTGTTTAGGACTGATGTTTTTGCTTACAATTCATACATTATTTAAGCTTCATTTACCGCAGCATCTTTTGGTATGGCCGCTCATGTGTGTATGCGTGTGTCAACTATTAGAGGCATTAAAAGGAGTAGTTAGTTGACGTAAGAAAAAGAATTAAAGAGTAATCCGCGTAATTAGTTGTGAAGTCGGGTCGTCAGTTGTTTTTAATTAATATTAACCATCAGCTACTATGTATGTTTAATTTTAATAGGTTTGTTGTCTGCACAAATCCCACGGTTCCATTTATGTAACATTCCCTGTATTAGTAACATCGCGTGCAATCACTTGCCTCTAGGAGGACGTTTTTCTCCTCGTCTTTGTGTGAAGACTGTTTGAACTCCGCTTAAAGCAAACACGGTTGTTATTGTATCGATTCCAATGTTTTTAAAGAAATCTTTTCTATTTTATTCCGTTTATGTATCCGTTGTTGGAAATTGCCCCGCATACGGTACTTTTGAAATCATCATTAACAATCCATTAACTCAAATACAACTAGGTAACAACACAAAAAAACACTATTTGCTGAAGTTTTAATTAGACACGTTTAAAACGACCATATGTTTTTGTATATTTATGCGCTATTTAAAAAGCAAACACGAACCCGTGGCATT